TTAACCTTTTAACTGTTCGCTTGGGAGGATCTCTGGCATCCCTGCAGATAGATGTTTGATCCCATCTTGTTGGGAATATTTTATTGATTCTCAGGTATCGAACCCTTTGGTATTAACTGTTTCTTTTATTGTTTAGCACGCCACTACTTAGCGTGCTACATAGAGAAAGTTCTGACTGTATAGCACAGGCTGTACGGTTTGGAGTATTTTGTATTTTTGACATAATTTGTTCTATTTCCTGAGTGAGAACCGTTTAAATTGGGCACAGAGTTTGTGTTTTGTCATAATTTAATACGAGTATCTCAAGAACGCTTTGTACGTTATACAGAAGAACGTAGTCTGGCCTATTCGAGTAAATGTTTGTTAGTCAGTCCTGCGTTCAAACAGATTACTGGTAGTCCGGTCGTTACTTCTATACTACCAGAGTGATGGAACCAACCCAACAGTGTGGAAATGCCAAGATATGACCAATTATTTTATATGATATTAGATGAACGTTGCATCATTACCTATAATGAATCGTCTTTTCGTGCCAGTCAGCAGTATGTTTTCTGCGAACCCCTGAATAACAGACTCAAGTTGGGATAGGATAATATATTTGCTATTAGAAGGAGTGAGTTAAACTCAGTGACCACAGCCGCGTAATCGAAAGATGCTGTCTAAATCAGATGTTTAAGAGCTCACCTTTTTTGACTTTCATCAAGTGTGAAATGGTTAGTGTATATGTTCATAGATATGGTATGTTCAGCCCCAAGGGTCATATTGTTAGTAACGAACGGCACTAAATTAATTTCATAACGGTATGCATCTTTATACAGACGACAACTACAACATCTGTGGGATCGTAGGCTTGCACTGAAACACTTTTTGTATGTTGCCGGTGATGATTCAGCTCTCTGTGAAAATGAAATAACCCATCAGCACAACATTATATTATCCACTCAAGAAAAGACTAAGTGAAACAATTATATGCACCTTAACCCATTTTACTCCCACCCACCTCAGTTCAACTCACTTCCTCTCACTTCTCCAAATTTTGCTTCACAAGTCAGCGATACATTTCACCACTCTCTACTACAACTCCACTTCACTTCGTCTCACCACACTGTACTACACTTCACCACAATACATCACTCTGTTGTGTTTGGATGAATGCTAAATCAGAAATCAGACTCATTTTATGCGGTCGAACGAGTCAACATTCGAATGCTGTTAGTTAAGCAGTGCAAACAGAACAAATAAGACCAAAAAAATAAAAAAACTCCTATGACAAGACATAGACTATTACAAAAAGCAGTATTTCAACATCCTATGAGTTGCATTGTTGTTTACCGTCAAATTGCTACTCCTGGTATACACTAAACCACTGAATTGGTGCTCGAAGTTTTTATTTCCAACAAACGTGCTTTACATCAGACGTCACCTGGGTCAATAGAATCGATCGAGGTGCGCAAGTCTGTGTATGAATTGGTATTAATTCTCACTTGCCTTAGTTGCATTCAGGATAAATCCCATGAGTTTCCTCTGATTGCCTTGCGTAACACTGTGCTGTGTTCAGATGCAAACATCGCATCACATCATATCGCATCGTAGTGACTGCAATGTCGCCCCGACTATGTCTTCCTTTGGTTACTGGTATGTATGTACATGTATTTTTATTTGAGTTATTTCATTTGGACTATCTGTATCGATTAATTACTGACAAGGAAGATTATAAAACCAAAATTTTGCGTCATTTTTCCGAGAACCAATATGTTCGCAGAAAAGAAACTTAATGGACGCATCAAAAAGTTTGTCGTGTCATCATTATGCTGTTAATAATGTCAATAAAGTTTTCTCTATTACGCTTGTTATTAATTCTGGTAGTGATTCTGTTGATTTTGGCGATAACATCCATTTTAAAGTCTCATGTACACATGAGTTTATGTCCGTGCATGTGTCTTCATAAGAGAGTATTTGTGTTCACTGTGAAACTGATGTTTGGCATGTAAGGAGTAGGTGTGGAGTTCGTTTGATATTGTTGTAAGTTGCAAACAGTTGTGCAAGCAACAGTGGTGGATAGAATATCGTTGAATGAGGTAGTGTGTGCATCAACTGTCGTTCCGGCAAAGACAAACAACAATCTGTTAGAGTGTTTGCCAAATACATCTACGGGAAAGTGAATAGAAAAAAGAGTCATTCGATCTCCCTTTGAACAAAGTGAGTGGATGTTAAAGTATATGATAAACAATCTCAGTAATGGATACGGTTTGCTAACAATACAAAAGGTGTTTTGTCTGTTACAGTGTGACATATGTACATGATTCAGCTGATCCGTGTGTTTAACTGTACGTTCCTAACAACTGCGATTTTGCTTGTGCAAAGTCCGATTTTCTTGGAAGGTTCATTTCTTCAAAGGGTTTAGGGAAAGCTTGAAAAACTGTATAGGTACTGCTGAAATGTGACTTTAAAGTTTCTAATCTCCTCTCCCTAAGTAATTAATCTTAACTTACATATATTACAAACTCAACAGGACGGTAAACCTATTCAACAACACAGCTTAATGTGCCCTCTCAGGAACTGTTGAATAATGGAATAGACGACTTTTTCGTTGTTAAGAAAATTATTATGTTTTGTTATCACTCATTGTCGCGTTCACTAAGTCCTAGTCGAATGTGACTCGTACGGCTTTTTTCGTAGAATGGACTATCATGCTGCTTAAGTAAAATGCAAAACATGTCCTGGAGTAGTGAGCATGACTCTGTTGACGGTAAAGTGCCACAGATATTTGAATTTTGACAATACTTTACTCAGTAACAGCGTTTAATATGAATCGTGCCCACCTAGTGAAATCAAAAGTCAGAAGCGAGGAGGTTTGAAGATATATTTGATAGGCTATCAGTATATTGAGAATCGACCGATGTAATGGGGCTAGCAATTGCGAAGACCTACAGAGTTATTGATTTGAGGATTTATTTACCGCTACAACGTAGATAGATGATTAATAATCATAAGGGTGATCTTTTCCGTGTGATGAATACTTCTTTCACATCCCAATACTAGGAGACCCTACGACGATTGCGTTATTTCAAAAAGAATACGTATGTAGATCATCAACGTTGATGATCTATGCTGAATGATTGTGGCCTACTCGAGTTACACGGGAACGACGTGACCGATAACTAACGTCGAAATCACACCTCGTGGTCAGCACCTGACGTGGATTACCCTTTCGTCGTATCAAGGTACGATGGATGTCTTTTAAACCGTACAACACAGAGGACGTAATACGAAAATGTATTAGTAAGAATGAGTGCAAAGTAGACAGTGAGACGACCACCGCATTGGCCAGTCCATGGCATAAGATTAACTGATGAACGTTGATCTGGTTAGGACTCAATGATATTTCACTGACCTTTCAGGTACAGTTTATATTCAACACTTTGGATCTGGATACTTATAAAATTAGAAGTCTTGGTGATCATCTGCCAAGCTTTTAATCAAGAAAATGAACTCAAATGGTTTATAAAGATCTTTGTTCACTAGTTCCTGCTTTACCCTTTCTCTCAAAGGTATTGGAACACGGAAGATTCGGCCAATGAAATCAAGTACATTATGTGGTTCATGACCCAGCTTGAGATAGAATGCAGTTGAAAACCTCAGAAGAATGCACAAATTCCGTATATTTTACCTTCTTTACTCTCACTAAGTGTTTTTAATTAAGGTCAGGCTACCCTCATACTTGAACAATGTGTAACCGAATTTGTATTTAAAGAAAGTAATTAACTGTATGCATCAAACTGTGGATTGAAATCCTTGCTTCTCATTGCAGCTGAAGTTATGAAAAGAGTCGTCAAAAAGATTCCTCTGAAAATTTTCAAGCCGTTATCCCACAGCCTCCGAATAACAATGTTTCGTTCTCCCAAATAAGTCATTTAATACAAACCTATTGGTTATTTTGAAAAGCCTATATCGTAATTTTCGACAGAAACAGAATTTTTTTCAATACTGACAAATGCAGAATTCTTGTAATGAATGCCTGACGGAATTAACATATAGGGTAAATCGTAGGGAAGATATCAAAGTCTTTCACTTAGACATTATGACATTTGGAATCAGTGGATTATCAAACTCCTTACTCGGAGAGACATTAACGACAACTCATGTGGAATCCTCTAATGGATGGCTCATGTATACCTTAGTTTGGCAGATGTTTTAATGTTCAATCAATGCCACTTCTGTCGCAAAATTTATTTTACACTTCAGTCTCATAAGAAAGCATAGTGATGACCGCACCATTCCGTGAGCACAAATACTCTTCTCTCAAATAACAAACAGGTTATCAGTTGCGTCTTGAAAAGTTCTCAACTTGGAGGACAACTGAGAGAACTTGTAACGGCAAATAAAGCCTTGAAACGAGAAGTTTGTTAAATCTTTGATATTGATGCTGACCTCAATAACTTTATCGTACACACCCTTAGTGAGGGTGTTCCGTTACGCATCTCAATCAGATCGTGACAGGGTACTCAATAATTACCCTGCTTAGGTCAAAAACCTCTCTGTATATTGAAAACCCTTCAAATAAACCCTTGATCTCCTCCATTTTTGACCTTCACTTTGACTAGGTTTGATATATTTTAACCATAAAATTATTACAACAGCGTTGTCAACCAGGAATATCCGAGACAACCTTAGACTTGCTGAGCGAATTCAAAGCTAAAAATGGACTAAATCCTTGCTAAAAATGAGTCTTCTCACCTGGTGAACGGCTCTCGAACCCGTCAATTACATCTGTGCATTTATATGGATCACCCAACGTAAGCTAGAGATAAACCAAACAGGTCCTCTATGTTCTTAAGCATTACTTTGAATTCAAACATTTTAAGGTTTAAACGGGCAATTAAAATGCACATACTTTTTAGCCAGAATCCTAAATACAACCTTAGTTGCATAGTTATTGTTTTCGATGCCAGTGATTTTATCGTACTATTTTGATTAGTTGAAAGTAACCTAAAAAAGGCGCAATAAATGAGCTAGTAGTTTCTTATCCGGTAGGCCGTTAATGCAATTGCTATCGTTGCGTTTAGTGGTGTTAGACATTTTGTACATTTGTGGGTGGATCTTAATGCTCTAACTGCATACAAGGTTTTCTGTGCTCAAATTGTTTTACCAATCTCAGTATTCATGTACGTACCTGGTTCCACACGCTTTAGTAAAATATTTTCGTTATTCCACTTGTGGGAGATATTATTTCTCGATGCTTCACTGAAAGCCTTATTTTATGTTCTAAGCTCGCAGTCGTTCACCTAGACTTTCACGTGGCAAGTCTTCCGTGGTGATGCATGTAATTCGCATTTACTAGGACAGTGACCTAATACTTTTTTATGAGACAAGCAGAGTTGCGTTAGTTGGTTATAAACTGTATATCTCAACATTCAGTCTTGATTCTCAGTGTGATTTGTTTGAATAATATTTTCGAAGTTTGAGGGGCAAAACAACCTTTCATATCGGAGATTCGGTTGCAGGATAAAATGTTTAAGATAACTGGAATTAACCTACTCCCTGCTTTTCAGGCTTCCGGAACATCCCAACCTACTACTGTTACCTTTTATACCGTCTCAGTCTTGTCGCCTGAGCCTCAAGCACTCGTCACACAAATAACTACAAAAAAGTGTTTCTTATCGCGGTGAGACTGCGATTTATCGACGACCTTTGAGCGACGCCAAAGTGACCTTGAGAGTATCTAATTAACAGGGCTAAATGAGGGTTATAAAGGAGTTTGAAGAGTAAGTATTACGATTCACAGTTGATGGTTTGGGGCTAGGAATTAGATTTCCGGACTGACATAAGTTAAAATGCCAAGACGCTATTTGGCCAAATGAGTGAATAAATTTCGTGCCACAGTCCAAAACCTACTATCCTAAATCTGATTGGTTCGTCCATAAGTTATAGCTTCGCCCTTATCGTTCTGACTTTTCACTTCATTACACTGCTCTGATCAGTAGTCTTTTTTGGGGTTCATATTCACTATATTAAATAGAACTTGTGTCTTATTATTTGATATAACTTGACTGTTTTTTGTAATCACGCTGTAAAGCATTTGTTGTATTTCAAACCTGACTTTTTAGGTGCTGATGCCCTTAATCCAAGCTACTTTATCGTTTGTTGTGGAACTACGAGATTTTCATAATATTGATCTCTACCATCGTGGGTGAGTTATTTACTGTCTATGATAATCATAAATTGAAATAGCTATTACCAAGTTCGTACTCACTTAAAAACAGGTGTGCAAACCACAGGGACTACTGGATCTAACAATGGTAAATCACTGGCCTTTGTTGAACCGCCATCCCGTTGGGAACGAGCTAGTACACGACTCAAAGTGTCAGAAGCTGTAAAAGCCAGTTATATCGAGCCGAGTGTTTCTGTTCCAGCTTACACACCAGACAAAGCATGTAGCAAAACATTGTTGATCATGTATCGAGATGAATCGGCAAGGTTATGTGATGTGTTTGAACAGAGGGTATTGGTACAAGTTGATCCGATTAATTTAGAGGAGTCTCTAATAAAAAACGATCTTTTCCTATGCGTTGAGCTATGGTTTGTCGAAGACCCACTTGACAGGCAAGTCAAATTTATTATATCTAGTAAATAAAATAAATGTGTTGGCTTTTAAATACTTTTATATTTCTGCTTTTATCTTTCCGGTAAGGCAACTATTCCTTTTAACATTCCAATAGCTTCTGTAATTTAAATGATTTTGAGCAAAAACGAATAGGGCTCATGAATTATGCTCTTTTTATAATTTTCGTCAATCGGAAAATGGTGACTTCCAACACAAATAAATGAATGAGAAATACGACCTAGATAATAATAGTGAAACAAAATCCTCGAGATTCAACCCACCAGCTCTCATCTACTTTGCTATAATGAAATTACTGGCACCAATAGTTCTTGCATTCCCACCAGAGCATATATTTTCATACCTTACATAGAAATGAATTAATCGACATCTGATACCATATAGTCTCATCAAAAATGAGACTAGTAAATCAGAAAACAACGATGAAAAACTGATCATCTATAGATTTTAAATCTTTAAGAGCAATGCTATCAGTAAATTTAATGTTCTTAGGATATTTATTACCTCGAAATTTTGGGAGACTTTAATTTGATATCGTGCAGTCTACTGCATCTCTTGTGATTACGCATCGGTAGTTTATAAATATGGCTAGCATCGGACTTGATGTGTCCGTACTTTATGTTTACTTCTCTAGCACCAGGTTGTCATATTTTTCCAATTCTACGTATAAATTTGGAAAGTGAATTCCTCTGAAAGAGATGCATAGTGGGATTCATTAGACTGTACAAATGGTATCATTGGCTAAGCGAGGGTTTTTTAAACCTTCATTTTGAATTTATCTCATCTACGAATGTTTTCCAATTTACACTTATTGACCAACTATTAAGTACTTCTCAATATATTTCGCGAACACCCGCTCACTTCACACTATATCATCGTCAGTTGGAGCTGGCATAAACGACATTTCTCTCTTTATCATCTGAACTGTAGGTTATCTAGTTGAAGAATTACCGGCGAAATAGTGCGCACTTTTATTGTGTATGTTTTTGTCATTGTCTTCTGTTTTTGAATCACCTTATCGAGTCAGTTTGTGATAATCATGGCAAAATGCAACAATTTTTAACTCATATAATTTAATAAATCTTAAACTTTGATAAATGTTGATATCTTCCGTACCAAGCTTCAAGTATAATTTCAGGTTCTTAATTGAATTCAAAATCGGAGACTGGCTTTACAACCCTATTCTTCTTTTATATGTCACTAACTGAAAAGTAGAATGGTTTTGGGACTCAATATTTCTGTCAGCGCTTGCTGTTGGACATTAGACTAATTATGTCATTTCATTAGTGATAATTCAGCTTCATCTAAGGTTCAAAACATTCTCCAGAGTTTGTCTCGTCACCAGTTGATGGTTACTATGTCAAAGTTTCACAAATATATCTTCCGTTTTTTTACCTCAGAATTTTAATACAGTACACATTTTCAAAAAAAAAACGCTGAAACAAACACTTAGATAACTATGATTATTTTCACTTAACAAGTGATTAATGAATAATTGTTGGTCCAAGTATTGATCAGCATTTTTTTAAAAATTTTCATCATGAGCTGAAAACGATTTACTGTGTTTTTGCTGCTAGTGTTGATAAGTTCTACTGCTCTAAGCTGGTTTTGTTTTATAAGACTATGTGAGTGATTACGTTGATCTTATATGATACGTTAGAATTTGGCTGTCGCTTCTATGCTTTGATTTACTGCATAAATCGTCTCTGTGATTACGTCATCTTCGTGTTTTTAATAAGTATGTGCAGACAATAATTGTCTGTTTCTTCAAAATAAAACAAAAATATTCCGTGCCGAATTATTCAGAATTATTATGCTCCACTTTAACAAATAACAAATCAAGGTCCTGCAATTGTTTAGTGGGTTTTATATCAAAAGAAAACAATTGATAAGGTATCAAATATAAAGTTTCTGAAACCAGTTGACAAAATGATAATATTTATGAAATATGGTTATTTTGATGGATAATAAAATTACTATTCTGTCAACTATTCAAACTTCACACCAAATTTAGTTGTCTACTTTGATTTTAAGTCAATTTCTACCAATTATGAGCTTAGGAATTGTCATCGAAAGACTTTATTGGATGTTATCCAATCCCCTCAATAAATAATCAGTGACCATGTCTTTTGATAACAGTTTATCCATATACATCTCTAGGGCACTTAAACTTATATACGCGTAAACATAGGTTTCTCTCCACCGTTCTAAAGGGTGTAAGGAAGCATGGATTCTTCGCTAACTTATTATATGCTTTTCAGTTTTCTCATTATACATGATGCCTTTAAAACGATACACATCCAATTACCTTCTAATTCTTTTCCTTTTGCCTCTATAACTCTATCAATAGTTTTAGGGTTTTATAGCATTTTAGTCAATTCTAGCAGATACTTCATCTTACCCACATATTATCACGTTATTTGCATACACCAATTTTCTAAATGCTTAAGAGAAAATGAATTGTTGGTTTTTTTGACGAAAGCCCTCTTTTTACAAGCCATAACCGTACAGTCCAATTACATTTTCCCTCCCTGGCTAACTCGATAAATTGATATCTCTTGGGATTCGCTAAATAACCCAACAGTATAAAGATAGCGCCTTTTATACGCTCTTCACTGTCGCTATCATCATTATTTTGCTCGTGTGAAATTTTCAGTCTTTCAACTTGTTTTGTATCTTTGAGTATCTTTCAAAGCAAATTTCGCTTACAAGCTGTGAAATAACACTCTAAACTACTGTTTTGTCTCGTCTAATTACAAGCCTCATCAATAACGAAGTCGTAGTCAAGTATTTTGTTACATAAGGGCCATCTGACCAGGAAACGATGCACAAAATCTTAGGCAGTTGATAATGTCAACTATGACAGACAAACATCATCAGTAGTCTTTCTAAACCAGTCACTGTGCTAGAGTGCTTCAACTTATTTCACATTAACTCGCTGGTTGTTAGTGCATCTGTATTGCTTATAGCCATCATGCTAACTTACGCGTACGCATTCATGTACTTTATTTGTATTATTTTTCGTTTAGTTCATTTATAATATCTCAATTTCGTTTGATTCCAATTGAACATCGTTTATAGTATGCGTATATGTATGCACCGTGCACATCTTTGAAATAATACGTGAGCTGGGATATACTCCTCGGTTGATCAAACCGAAGTAGGTGATTCTCATAGGGAGCCACTTACTGAGCCTATAACCTAAATGTCTAATCCGTAAGGCGAAGGAGCAACGTTAGATGCTTTCCCATGGTAGGGGGCGACCAACAATAGATTCACGACCGTTGCTGCTCTTTTGATGTGGTGTTCGGGCCTACTTATCATAACGGACCAATCGAGCTACACTGGCTGGAACGACCGATCCTAAAGATGCTACTATGCCAGACAAGTCGATTGAGGAGCGGTAAAACTAAAAGCAGCAAACCCAAGGTCCGAGGGCGAAGTCATACTGCTGACTGTACAGAAAGGTGACAGCAGTCAGTTGTTTCCTTCAGACAACCAGCATAACAGCGACTCTGCCTTCCCACAAGAAAGTGTGGGGTTAGAGACGGTCGACCCTAAAAGTGCACACCTCGCCTTATCCCACGGATGTTCGTCTCCGGCAGTAAGGTCCCAACAAGTACGGAGCTAACACGAAAATTACTCACAAGAAGGTCTTGTGTGACTGGCCTCAAGCAATTGACTTTTGAGCACTGCGGTCACGCTCTCAGGTCATAAAGACCACCTCTAACCCAATTTCCTTTTCAGGTGTTTCAGTAAGAACCCTTCCACGGTGTGGGAAACGGGAAGTGATAACTCTCCTCATACATCTAACAGCACTCAACAATAGATTCATACGCTATCCGCTCCCTCAGGATCCTAGATCCTGTGTGCATCATTGGTTTGGAATCATGGTTAAGGCACTCGGCTTCCCACCGTCTGTGACAGTTCATATATTAGAAACTCTCTTCATTTACGTTGGTTTGAACATCACCGTGTTTTAAAAACAGGATAGCCATAACCAACATAGAACCTAGCACATGTATTTCGCAAGCAAGTTATATGCACATCATTTCCATGAAAACCTGACCAATATTGATTTTTTCAGTAGTGAATTCATTCCAGTTAGCGTGTAATCAAACTAAGTTTTACTTTTATGATGACCTTTGGACCATTATTATTATTATTATTATTATTATTATTATTATTATTATTATTATTATTATTATTGTCACAATGTATTTGTTTTGAATGATTTACGTCGAACTTCAAAATAAATAAGCTCTTTTGTTTTAAGATGTAGTTAATGATAGTCACGTATTGGTAATCTTTACCTTTGCATTGTGTAATATTTATTTTTCCATATGATAATGTTTTTAAGGTCAGCTTCTCATTGTTTACTTGTACGACTTGTTTTCACACAAAGTCATCTATTGACGACATGTTATCCTCACAGTTGTTCCATATTGAGATATAGTGTCGACCCCTGTATCACATGATTTGGAGCATGGTTAATGGTCATCGCACTGGCATTATGCTAGACTTATTTGCTTTGGAGATCTAGGAACTGAATTGAATACGTAAGCTTTCTTCAGTTACGTTTCGGATATAGAAGGTTACTGAACATTAAAAAAATGATAAATTCGGTTTTAAATCTTCAACAAGTATACGTTACATGTATATATAAAGTATACAAGAAAGGGACATTTTTATTCCACAGTTCACTCATAGGCACTTTTACTGCCTCAGAATGGAACCTCAACATACAATATTAACACGTTATCTAATGGGTTGTCCAGGTTCACCGTAGAATAGTTGATTAGTTCAGTCCCTATCAAACCACCCGTATTAGTTCGTGAGACACAGCTCCACTATCCTCAGGGCACTGCGAGAAGGTCTGGGTCAAAAGTTTTCCCACCTGCCTAATAAGTGCGACAGTGACTGACGTTAAAGTAAGTTGTAAAAGGTTATGCATGATTAGATGGATATATATATATATATATATATATATATATATATATATATATATATATATATATATATATAAATTATTTAACAAACTGTTCTGGTTTTTAATTGTTACAAAAGATTCTGTTTTCCTTCTAGACCTTTTGCTCCTGAATTTCTGACTAAGGTATGTGAGCGTCAACTACGTATTCATTTAACACCATCTCGTGGACTTCATTATCACTTCACCGTATTCTTCGATTATTTTCATTTATGTGCTATTGAATTGGCACTTTATGGAGCATTAACAAACATCACTTCAAGTATTATTAGGTAAGTACTTCTTCAATATCCATTTTAAATAAATATATATTGTAAAGTATTCTACGAACTACTGGTTTATGTATTCATCTTTGAGTTACTTCGTTCGTACGGAGGTTAGTAACACTACCAGTCTGCTCAAAAATAGTAAGGCAGGGTCAGAGCCTACCATCTATTGGTTCAATAAGCTGGACATTGGCTATTCTCGAGCAGAAGCCTAATGGCTTAAACATTCGTCTTTTGTTCGATATATAGTTTGTATTCGTCACAGATTGATTTCAGCTCTGATACCAGTGGGGAAAATCGAATGTATTTAACAAAAAATTTCAGGACTTGTTAGTAAAATCTAACAATCATAAAGTAAATGCTTAATTTGCAAAATGTCCACTAATTGTCTCAAGATGACTCAGACTTCATTGTTCTTGCATTTTCATACAGATTGCATCTTGTTTCTATACTTTACTGTTCAGTCCTCTTGTCTCTCTGCTGCCAGACCTTCTGTTCACGACTGACATCATATACCACTTATGTCAATATAAGTAGCACACACCACACAAGGAGTACTGGGCAGCCTTTGGATCTTAGTGGGGGACTCCTTAGCAGTGCACATTTACAAATCAACCAGGAAACTTCAGGTCTTACCTGAAAAGCTTAATTATTAGAACTACTGAGTTAACCTCCAACGATACAACTCCACCTTCAATCAGTTTGTGAAAAAAAGGAGACGACCATCCAATATCACTGATGACAACTATTTGACTCCCAATATGTCAGAACTCCATCAGTCATAACTAAATACTCAAGAACCTCTTGGATTAAGTCATTCATGAGCTGACTACCAAAGTTTGGTTGTAAAGGTTTTGTGGTGGTCTGTTTCTTTTGTTGGTAGTATTCGTCAAGGATCAAAAATTGACATATTTCACTCTACCTAGTTCGATTTAGGTAATCAGATAGTAATACCATTTCGTATCTATACAGCTTCAATCATAACCGAAAATACATACATTTGCTTACTATGTTACACTGTTTTTCTATCTATAAATTGCTAACTTCTGATTCATTTGAAAGTCGGTTATCTATCAAAATTTGAACGTAATTTCACAACATAAATTTATTTTTCAGAAAATATACTTCAGAATTTCCTGTCTTGTTTAAAACATTGTTAATATTTATGTCTTCCTCGGTCTTTTAAAATTTTAAGTTATGCTTCTAAAGCCATTATGAATCTACAAAATTATAAGTATACTTCCGACTTTCAATCTTTTCATTTACTAACTAATCATACTGTTTTGTCAGTCAATTCAATATATGACATATAAAATCAAGTCAGATTTTTCATACCATCTTTTCGTCCTGTCCTTTTATGAAGGCATTGGCTTAGTGGTTTAGGCGTTTGACGTTCACAGGTTCGAACACAGCCAAACCTACTTCGGTTTTAGCGACTAGGTATTATCACTAATCCTCATACCTAAGAGTGTGACTCAAAGCCATTTACATGAATCTGTACCTGGCGAATTAGTTAAATAATTAAAATTTATGAAAGCCATCTTTTATCTATATACTTGTGTTAAACGATAATTACTGAAGTTGAGTCACTTCTGTAATTTCTATACTGAATATTACGAGCCTATGTTTGTGCTAGTTGGAAAAGCGGAAAGATGTAGTTATTGTATGATATTGAACGTCACCATTAATCCTTAGGTACCTAGATATGCTCCACGGTTAGCTTCTCGGTGTATGTTCCTGAGGATTCTCACACCAGGATAAAATTACTTTTCACGACTTCTTAGTTTTCTATGATTACCTAGTTAAATGTCATTCCATAATCTAAACTATAAATAATTGTTTTAATTAAATGAGTTAAACTTGCAAAACTGTATTTTACTTCAGTAATTTTCGCTATTAGTTTATGACAAATGGTTTCGAAAGCTGTTTCTTTCTCTTTTATACATAGTTGGCCAAAATTTTCACCACATAATACACCATTACAAACAAACAACCAAATTATTAGTTTAGCTCAACAAACATGGCATGGTATCATTTGCAGTATCAAACAGGTGTGTACATTGTTTGATTAATTATTTATGTTCTTATTCTTATAAATCATTCTGGTTTAATAAAATTATTACTATTTATTTCGTAAAGATAACAGGATTCATTTTGTTGATCCAAAACTGTGGATGAATTGTTTAGCTAACAATAGTTTCTAGTTTAGCACGTTTTGCGAAATTTTCCATTCATAGACTAATCTATAATAACTATTGAAAACCAGGAAACTGGTTGACTGTTTCGTCCTAGTATGAAACTTATCAACAGTCTATATCCAAGTCATCACCGAAGAATCAAATCCAGGACCTTTGTGTTTCACGCTGAACCCTTTAAATCACTTATTTATCATCCAGTGGCTTGCATGTCTAACTAATCAATTCATGGTACTGTGCGACGACCTTCCGCCACCTATCTCACGTTTAATATGGTTGAACCATACTAACCACTTTTCTTTACTATAACTTTTAGAATTATCTGTCGAAGTAAATTACTAATGAGCATATGATTATTATTAGTATTGGTGGTTTGAGGAGATTGTTTGAACTTTCTCAGTTTATATCTTGAACTGAATCTAGGTGTTACCGTCTGTATGGACAGTTGCAAAGTTTCCTACTACGACGAGATAACTGTCTAGTACTTCCTAGTTTTCAATAATGGTTTACGACTAAGCCGTTATGTAAACTGTTAAAAATGTTTTTCATTGCGATGTTTCCGATGGTGAAATGAGCAGTCATTGAGAATTATTTATTTGAAAAATATCGAAAAAGACTTCCCGTCTTTTCTTAAACACAATTGATGTTTATTTAAACAACACAGTTTTTAATCAGTCTTAATGAAGTGGATGCATTCACTTTTTATCTTAAAGCACCTATACTTTTTATTCCATGAATTCATTTTTTCTTATCGAATTATATTGTTTTCGCTTAAAATTTTCTACTAATATTCACTGTTACAAATCCCATTTCTCTGGTATCTATCCTGATAATTTAATCTTACTATGATCATTTAGTGTCGTAATTTGAACTGATTTATTTATATTCCAGGTTCTACGTCGCGCACGACTAATTGATTCTTATTGTAAATGACTACTCTTAGAAAAAAGACTATTAATACACTATAACACTAATGCTTTTATGAGATTTTTCCAAGTAATATTAAGTTTATAGTCATACTTTTTATTCAATTAATCTCTTAAAACAATTGCTACAATAATTCACCAAATAATGTTTCATAAACAATAAAACTGAAAAAAATAATAAAAAAATAAACTACTCCTTAAAAAAGAAAAGAAAGGAAAACATTATGTATCGATCAATACATTTTAATTAAACTGTAAACCAATAGAAATCTCATCCAGTTACAAAGTGGATTGGGGGAACCTTAATAGAAAATTACACCAAGATTGCTACAGGTTTCTATTCTATATCGGATAATGCTTCAAGACACTAGGTTGGATGAATACTTAGACCCAGCCGAAAAAGTCTTTGTGAACTAACAAATACTATATATATATATATATATATATATATATATATATATATCATACCAAGGAGCTATTCCATGACCAGATATGCGCTATCACCCATTCTCAACCGGAAAATCTAAGCTAGACCAGTATATTTCTCTCTAGCTTCTATATTATGAAGGCGGACTTTATCTACTTTCTCATCACCATTGGCTCCTCAAACATAGCAGCGTCTCGATTACTTACTATAAATCACCTTTAGTATTTACAGGGACAGTTTCTTGTTTGGATGCTTCATTTCAATGGTCCAAAAACCCTAATCATGACTCATCTCAATCAACTACCTTTTGAACTGTTTGACTACGCCTCCAATCTATGATACCAGTAATATTTATTCAGTTCGTCTTACAGGCTTTCAAATAAAATCGCCTGTCCATAATATATGAAGCTCGGAACATATCAATTTACCTCCTCTTTACATCAGTTTGAGAGTTTACTCTTTCAGAGTGTCTCAAAATCTCGTAACAACCTTTATTAAATTTACTTAGCAATTAGAACTAATAAATCTTAAATAAGTTTTATTTATCGCCCCAAGACTGAATTAATGAATCATTAGTCTATCATGTCATTAACTGTCGGTCTGATTCATGTTGAAAGCTGCATAATACCTGATTGAGGTCCACATGATAACGACAGTCAGTGGTTTGAGAATTTAGGTGATATGGCTCAGTCAATTGGAGTTGAAAAGATGTATTCACTCTTTATCCTTTTTCCTATTTTGAATTTCAGTATCCTTCCATACATGTCTTGCTCTTCTATCTTCTCAAATCACATTCCTAAGGTTTAGTCTTTTTTTTATCACTGCTACTACATTATGTCAATGTTTTCATCTTGTGCCAATCAAATAATGGCAACATCTTTGTCAAGCTCCATTGTGATAATGACTATCTGTCTCTTTACCCAATCATTTTTAAAGAAAATTGAAGTATTGATCTATAAACTGAATAACTTTGAATACTTGGTTCATTCGCCGTAAACCATGCTAATCACAACTAAAATAAATAATCTGAATTCGACCGTTTTCAGTCACCCAGTGTATCATAGCGACAAAAAAATATATTGAAACCATTAAATAAACGTTAAAATTTAGCTTTACAAATTCAACGATTATTTTTATTATTCTTTAATTTCTGCATTATAATATAGTTTCAGTCACTAAACAATATGATGAAGTAACTTCTTTAATTTCATTTCATTTTCCAGTATACTTTTAATCAAACATAATGCTTCATTTTTCCATGAACTAATCAGTTATTTTTCTCCATAGAATGGATACATTCTTAATAGAAATTTTGATTATCATAATCTTTTTCTGATGTTTTGTGATATTGTGTCTCTTTGTTAATTTAAGTTAGTGGAGGTAAAATAAACATTTTACAAAACTATCTATGTTTTCACACCAAAGATTAACTCATGGTTAAGTGGTATAGTTTGTTTCTGCTTAACATAATAATTAAAATCAGCGTTTTTCCCAAGACTTTCCAAATAAATTTGATCAAACGTTACTAGTACCTCAAACTTTTTCATTGTCATATGTAAAATGATATCCTCAGATTATGTAAATGAAATTTATGCCGAATATAGTTTTTATACATACATACTTAGTTATTCTATATCATGTTACTTCTGTGATGAAGAGGTGACTCAGTGTTTAAGTCGTTGAACTTTCGGCAACGAAGTCTCACATCCGAACTCTAGCTCTACCGGATTGATTTACGGCAAACAAATAGTATCACCAGCCATCACAATATGAGTGTTGTTTCAAAGCTAAATACACAAATCTGTATTTGGTAAATGAACTGAATAATTATAAAATGCTACCAATAACTTACTTTTACATTAATCAAACCATAACTTACGAACCAAGTAATAAACAACCAATCAATTTGTTCTTAACTTTGATAAACTAAATATGAAACTCATATATCAACTGTACCTACCATAAATATTACTCTTTTGTTATAATCTCTGTCTCTCTTAATTAAAATGATTTGTTGTAATTAAGATGCAACGAATTGGAAAGCAATAATTTTGGTTATATTGTAGGTCAATTGTTAGTCTCGGTGTTCATGTCTTTTATCTATGTTATTATTACGTTTGTTATTTCCATACTACCCATGTATATAAGCAGTAATTTTTATATTAATTCTCTGGAAATAACTTATAACTTAATTTCAAACCCTTTTTGTAATGACTTTAATTAATTGACATATTGATAAAACATTTAAAGAAAAACCTAAGTTATCTATTAAATATACGTAAATGTATTCTGATTGAATATGTTAATATATTTGCATATATATCTCGTAATGACCTCTTATAAGTTTTGTATTCACTGAAAAATATATTAATCAACTGTTAATATTACTTTCTTGGTAGTATTCAAATAAAACAATTAAATGTCTTAACATTGTTTATGATTTATTTTGACCTTTAAAAAATATTTCAATTTACTAAAATACAAGTTCATTTACTGAGCTTTTAGTCATATCTTGATTATTTAAGCGGTTGTGTTACTGTTCGATTTGTTCTTAAGTGAAATAAGTCGCATAAGGATTGTGTTTGAACCTGAGGATAGTTGTTTACAACCATAGGACTCTAGATGGGAAATTTGTCTGTTTAGTTCGCCTGTGTTAACGAATACAGCAACTTCAATACCTTCTAACGTGCACATACAAGAGTAATGGTAAATATATATTGCCCAGAAATTACAGTCAAGGATGTGCTATCATATCTTTTTATCTTGAATTTGTAACTTGATTAGTCTTATATTACACTGAAAATCACATCATAATTTGAACTGCACCACTGATCGTGTTGGATTCGATTGCAATATGAATCACTGGATTATTCCTATGACATTATTTTCTTGTTTTCTTACGCGATTTAATAATCGTTGAAATAACTATCATTCTCTGTTTACACTCCTTCATGCTCTTATGACTATTGATTTTCAGTATGATCTGGAATATTTCGGTCTGTATTTTGAAGACTAATTAGTTTGGTATAACTATCGAATTTCCAAAAGGGTTTTTATCCTATCTTTAATTGTATTTTCAACAATCAGCTAAAGGCATAGGACTTCTGTGTTATTATTTTCTGTGCACGTTGACAAGGTTTATCTTCGAATTTAAGCGGTCTTTCGAAAACTGTAACTCGCTTTACACAACATCATGTTGAAACGTGTATTGCCTTACGTCTTACGTCGCTCCCTCATCTTTTCTGGTAGTAATCCCCTTTACTCTAGCTCTACAACGACTCAATTACTCTTCGACTACGGTCAAAATAATATCTATGATTGATATTGGCTACCGTCTCGTAGGATGTTATTTTCACACTAATTATCACTTAGTCATAATCAACGTACAACATTTTGCGGATGTGCATCAGTCTCAGTTGTCATATTATATCAGTAAGACACGATTAAATGAACATTATGAATAAAAATAGTGATAAGACAGACTAAACATTGAAGGATAAGGTGTGAAAACTAGAAATAAATTCCTTAATAATATTGAAGGTGAAGAATTAATTTTGGTAATTGACTAACATAACATTTTTGACTGTTGAATGATCATTGTGGCTAATGGGGATAAGCATATCTGTCTTCGAGAACACGTGATTTATTATTATTATTATTATTATTATTATTACTGTTGGCAAAATGTTTTACGTGCTAACAATTTCTGCAAAAAAATCATCTCACAGATACGTATGTTCTGTCCTACTGTTAAACACCGTCATCGTACAGAATCACTTTTATTCTTTTGTTTATGTAGTGTTCAAATGAAAATCCTTATTCCATCATAAGTTGAAGAATTAAAACTATTCGTTAAAAGAGATACATTACTGGGTGTTATGCATTAATTTTATTTCAGTCTACGTCAATTCATGTGTAAATTTATTTAATAACGCTATATTCAACGCCGATTTCATATTCGCAAATATTTCACTATTGAGATATTTCAGATTTACCACAGTTGGTTGAAAAACCGATAATCTAGCTGTAAACCAACAAGTCAGATAGTTTTTTTCTCAAATTGCAATACTGACGTTATTCCTCTGTACTATTTAAACGTCCCACTCACTGCCTTCTTGCGGCAGTGTTGTTTACGAAATTAAGAGTACGGGTTGGTGGATACGGAAGATCTACCTATGGAATGTGGAAAACCCTGATTCCACACCAATGGGGCACATTGGCTCCAGGATTCTGAAAGAACAAATGAAGTATGAACCTAATGTTGGTCACCGACTACTATGGGACTGCATCTCCTGATGTTGCTTCACTGCCTTGTGGATTAGAACTGTAAGTCAAAGGATTGGAGTGTGATCCCTTTAAGAAAACCACTTGTTCCTTCTTTGGTGTCCGAGCGGTATTCCAACCCTCACAAAAATCTAATGACGAGGTGTGACGCATATGTTTAAATATACAAATAATTTAATTAAGCTGTTTATTTACTCTCTGTAGAAGCAACTTAAACTAATCTGCGAAACGTCAAAAATTCTGATTTTTATCCAATGAGGTATCATAAATGTGTTTTTATTTTATCATCAACAATCTACCCAGTGCTTAATCTATTTGAAATTATTAAATCAAACCTTGGTAATGAATAATAACCCTCAACTCTTATATTTAATGTTTGTTTTCAATTATCAAAATTTTTTGTGTTCATAATTTTATCTAATTTATTGCCTCATTAACATTTTTAAAATTTATTTTAGCCTAACAGACGTCATTTTGCACTTGCTATTCATCGACATCTCTGTCAAATATTATTAGCGGCAAGAGAATCCATGTTATTATTTTGGCGTGAAAGTCTTCCGTATTTACCTTCAAATATGAGACCACGTATTGGTGAGTTTCTTTTCATTTTCGTCATTAACCTTTAGTTACTTTTTTCGTATATTTTAAATAAAGGATTTTAGTAGTTTATATGACACTAATTAATGATTGACCGTAATAACAACAGAGATGATTCGATTGTCATGAATAGTATCAGCGCGTGAAGTTACTAACTATTGATCTGAGCCGTATTTGTAGGTACTTGATTGTTTGTCTTCATGAATACAGCAACTCGTAGTTGGAGGTGTTGGATGAGAAGTCTCGGAATCAGCCTCAGTGGTATAGATCCATCCTCTTTCTTCCCCTTGCCTTATATTTTAAATGTTAAAATTATCCCATACTTTTTTTATCCTTCGAATTCACTCTTTTCAAATCATATGCTTTATCTTCAATATTTTAAACTTCCACTATTACTGTTACCGTTCGAGTCCCAGAGTGAACATCAACTCTGAGATGCAGGTACACCCAGCTGACGAGTCCCAAACAGGACGAAACGCGCGTCCTGGATTCCACTGCTAGCCACTATCCATCTTTGCTTATAATGCTTGTAAATTAAGGCAATATCGAGGCATACGGCCCCTGAATGTTCTGGTACTGCCGAGAGTGGGTAGAGTCCGCTCTCCCTCTCGAAATACTCTCACACGGCCACGCGTTTACAGCCTCTGCCAGGGAAATCCTACTCATTGCCTTCTCGTGGCGGGGGTGTTGTTTACGAAAATGAGAGGACGAAAAACGAATGTCCGGCGCTTCAACCGGATCCCAAACCAATGGTGCACATGGGCTCCAGTATCCTGCGGGAACAAATAGCGTATGAACCAATCGTTGGTCACCGGCTACCATGGGACTGCATCTCCTTATGATGCTCCACTGCCTTGTGGGTCAGACCTATAGGTCAAAGGCTCGGGGTGTGGCCCCCTAAGAAAACCACCTGCTTCGGTTAGGGCACCCGGGCAGTATCACAGCCCACACGCAAATGATGAACTCTCTATATCTATGGAAACTACTTTTATCGCTTCGAAAAACAATCAAATGATTCAAATTATTATCATTACTATTATTGTCATTAGTATTGCTATTATTATGATTATGATTATTATTATTATCATCATCATCACTATTACTATTACTATTGTTATTGTTATTATCACTTATTATTATTATTATTATTATTATTATTATTATTATTATTATTATTATTATTATTATTTACCACATTGTTCACCTTCTTTTATACTTATACAGCGGCTCGTCTTTGGTGGAAATTCGACTGTATCTAAACGTTCTCGAGTCACTGTCCGGTTGAAAATTGCATGTTTCCACTGAATATGAGTACTGAAGCAGTTTTTCTGAAACCACGTGCACCATTCAAACTGGCTGCCTTCAACGTTCGCATACTTATGCAGGTTGGACAACAGATAGAGCTGGCTATGTCTTTGGAAAGTCTTAATATTGATGTTTGTTGTCTGTTCGAGACCCGTATTCAAGACTCTGGTGAATTACTACAAATTCGATCTCCATCTGTCACATCAAAAAGCTTGTTTTACATGCGCTTATCCGGGGACCCTGTGGCATCTTCGTCTGGTCTTGCTCGCGTTGGTGTCGCACTAAGCGCCAGAGCTGAGGCAGCACTAATCGATTGGATCCCCATTAACAGTCGGTTATGTGCTGTTAGATTAGAAAGTTCCATCAAAGTGAGAAAAAATCGGCGTGAGAAACGATGTCTTTTCGTCATCTCCGCCTATGCCTCGACAGATTGCAGCCCAGATGCAATCAAGGATGAGTTTTACCACCAGTTATCTGTTCTTCTCCAGAAAGTGCGTTCGACAGATATTGTAGTACTAGCCGGAGACTTGAATGCTCAGGTCGGGCGTCTAGGCGCAGAAGAGAGTCGTTTAGGTGGCCGATGGTGACTCGTTGGTCGCAGGTCAGATAACTGGGACCGTCTACTGCAAATGTGCACAGACCACAACTTGTTTCTCGCTAGCACTAACTTTCGGCACAGTCATCGCCGATATGCCACCTGGCGTCCTACCTCTGCATCCCAAGCCTGGACTCAGATTGATCACATCGCGATCAGCTACCGCTGGCGTGGTTGTGTACAAGACTGCCGCTCCTTTTGGAGTACTTATCTGGACTCTGACAATGCCTTGGTCTGCGCCAATCTTGCCTTACTTTTCAGTGGACAACGAAGTGACCGCCATCACCGGATTGATATTAGCAAGCTTGTTGCAACTTCTGTTGCTAGTAAGTATCGAACCGAGCTATCCTCTAGGCTAGCTACCACTCCACCGAAAAGTATAGATGAGCATTGGTTGCAATTGCATGACGCCATGAAAATAGTGGGTACAGTCAGTTGTGGGTTCGCGAAACGTCCCGCTTATAAGCACTGGGTTTCTGCAGGTTCCTTACAACTCATTGAAGCCCATCGGTCTACTCCGGGTGACCGTGAGTTTGACCATAAACGAAGGATGTTACGTACTGAAATTGGGCAAAGCTTGTGTAAGGACCGAGAAACCTGGTAGTCGAAGCGTGCTAATGAGCTGGCAGCAGCAGCTGCATCTGGTAATTACCGGAAGCTCTTCCAACTCATCCGAGCCACTGGCAGCAAGAAGTCTGGTGTGAGTGAAACAATCTGCGAGGATGATGGAATGCCAATCACTAACATCCATCGACGTCTTGGACGATGGGAAGAATGTTTCTAAGGGAAGTTCAACTGGCCTGCTGCTCCGGCAGCATCGGTCAGACTGTCCTGCCCTCCATGGCCGGTGACGACTGATCCACCAAATGAGGCGGAAGTCCACACGGAACTCCAAATCACCTGGCCGAGATGAATTACCTCCGGCTCTTTTTAAAGATGGTGGTGACTTTTTGACTAAGGAATTGACGACGTTGTTTACAAAGGTTTGGGAACTAGAGAGTGTACCAACGTCGATTGTTGTCCTTATCTTTAAAAAGGGCTCACGTCGTTCCTGTAACAACTATCGGGAGATAAGTCTACTTCCGATCGCGTCAAAGCTATTGGCTTCCGTCCTATTTCATAGGTTGTTCAAAACCCGAGAAAGATTGACTCGCGAGGAGCAGGCTGGGTTTCGTCCTGGTTGAGGACGTATTGATCATATCTTCACCCTTCGCCAAATGTTAGAACACCGCCATACTTATCACAGGCCAACAATCGTAGTGTTTCTTGACATCAGGGCTGCCTTCGATTCGTTGGACAGGACTATTCTCTGGGATTGTCTATTGAAGAAGGGTGTGCCTGAGAAGTTTATTAACATCCTAAAAGCCCTATATAAAAACACCTCAGGCATAGTGAGGGCATACAACTACCTCTCTCCATTGTTCCATTCGAGCAGTGGGGTTAGGCAGGGTTTTCCAATCTCACCATTCCTCTTCAACTTTGCCATCGATGACATTCTGGAAACAGCTCTGATGAATGTAAGTAACGGTGGTGTGGATCGGTTGCCTCGAGAAAGACTTCTCGACCTTGAGTATGCGGATGATATTGTCTTACTATGCGATAATGTCCAAGTCATGCAATCCGCACTTAATCAAAAGTCAATCAATGTCCGTAGGTATGGTATGTGCTTTGCACCTTCGAAGTGCAAAGTACTTCTACAAGACTGGCAGGATTCTAATCCTGTACTCACCCTGGATGGTGAGCAGATAGAAGTAGTCGAGAAGTTCGTGTATCTGGGTAGCTGCATAAGTGCTGATGGGGGTGTGAGTGATGAGATCAATGCACGTATAGTGAAAGCCAGAGCGGCTTATGCCAATCTGGGCCACCTATGGCGCCTTCGTGATGTTAGTCTGGCTGTAAAAGGTTGGATCTACAACGCGTCGGTGAGAGCAGTTTTGCTCTATGCCTGTGAAACCTGGCCTCTTCGAGTTGAGGACGTTAGACGACTCTCTGTGTTCGATCATTGCTGTCTCCGAAGGATTGATGACATCCAGTGGCAACATCATGTCAGTAATGCAGAGGTTCGGCATCGTGTGTTCGGGCACAGAGACGATAATCCAATTGGTGTCACCATCTTGAAACACCGACTTCGGTGGCTTGGACATGTTCTACGAATGTCGTCCCAGAGAATTCCACATCGTGCATTATTTGCCGACTCTGGGACTAGTTGGAAAAAGCGGAGAGGTGGTCAGTGCATGACGTGGTATCGCGGCATGAAAGAAAGCTTCAAAGGACTGGCTTGTGTTGGTCCTTCACGACTCCTTGGTTGGGGTCCAAAAGATGGTGTTACATAGTGGCTAGAGACGTTATCAGATATAGCTCAGAATAGAAGCCAGTGGTGATCCTGCTGTAAGTTTCTTTTACATTCTTCATAAATAGTGGTTGTATCTCCCTTACCTGAAAGATTTCTTCTGATTGTACCTTTTCGTTCCCTCATTACTACCACACTACCTTACACCAATCTCTTCGTTATTGTTCTCTTTTTTTTACGCTCCTTACCTTTTTTTTTCTCTTCGAATTCTCATTGTTTTGTGTGGCGCATATATATTTGGCGCACTCTTGTACCAATATGTATGTGTTCAAATAAATAAATGAATAATATAAATACGCACAGTATGCACATATACCAATAAGAGATTGATCAATTTCAGTCCTAAAACATCAGTGGGAAGATTCAAGTAAAGCAATATCAAGTGAATTATATTCGAAATTATTTTAAATTTCCGATGAAATTTCTTTTATAAACTGTCTTGTATTCACAGATTGTAATCATGAGTCAGTTGAAGCTAGACCACCATAGAAAATCTGTCTTGTACTCAACAAAAAATGATATGAATTATTTAGAACGAAAATGTATTTATATTTTTGTTTTAATCACATTTAAACATTTTTTGCATAATCATAAAAAAGTGACTTATAATGATTTAATACTGAAGTAATAAAATATAACTAGTAATAACATAGATTATGTAACGTCTATAGTATAAATAAAGAAAAGATTTAATCGTAGTAAAAAATACTCATTTTGTTGTATAAAAATAACATGATACACTAGTTCAAGGTTACTATAAATTATTGTCCTGGGAAACAATTATGAATAAGAAAAGGAAGTTAAAAGGATAGGAAATAAAACAATTCAAAGAAAGAAAATTCTATAAATATGAGAAATAAGTGTAATGCGTTATTTCAAATAAAAAGACCATGTCTAGAAAATGCAGTCCGTAACACACGTTTCCTCCTAGTTGAGACTCATTATTCGCATTTATCTACGTCCACTGTATTGTCTGTGTTGAGACTCGAACGCAATATCTTTCGCTTCTAACAATCGCTTGTTACTCACTGACCTGCCCACAAATGTACTGGTGCGGCCGAGAATACGGTGAGTCCGCTCTCCCTCTTGAAATGCTCTCACATGGCCACGCCTATCTAGCCTCTGCCAGGGGATTCCTACTCACTGCCTTTTCGTGGCGAGGGTGTTCACGAAATTGAGAGGACGAAAAGCGAATGTCCGGCGCTTTAACCAGGTTGGTGGACATTAAGAGTCAGTCAGCTACAACGTAGGACCAGGCACATATATGCATCGGTCCAAGTTGCCATACCTCATTAACACAACAAGATGGACACCAGATTCATATAAGTAGCTAATTCAGAGGTGGTAATATATAAAAGAAAGATTGCAATAAGGATATGGTACAGCAAGAAAGAGTTAGTTCGTAGAAAGAAAGATATGAAGCGATTTTAATCTCTTAGTTTAAGAGAAGACAGAGAGTGTATACACCTACGCCATTGTGATCGATTCTGAGCCATGTCACACAGAGTCTCCAACCATTGGTTACGAAAGTCACGCGGACCCCAACCAAGTAGTCTGCATCTACCAACATGACTCAGACTAGAAGTTAGTGACTTCAAGCACTGATGCCACGTTTTGGTTTGGCCGCCCCTAACTTTCTTCCAACCATTTCTAATACCGGATAGCATTGCACGTCGTGGTAATCGGTGTTCAGGCATACGTAACACGTGGCCCAACCATATCAGTCGATGAAGATTCACAACCTCATCAACTGATTTACCATCATCATTCCCTAATACCCTACGTCTAACCTCGCTATTACTTACCCGATGATCCCAGCAGACGCCAGCAATATTTCTAAGGCGTTTGTGGTCAAATACTAGTAGCTTACGAGTGTCTTCTACTCTTAATGACCATGTTTCGCTGCCGTAAATTAAACTCCCTATCCTTAGTTCAGGTGTTGACGTAGACCAGTCCTGAAGCAACAACTTGCATTTAGAGGGAGAGAAGCGCATTCCAAACATTCTGGCATTGTTGCTTAGTGCTACCAGAAGACTCTGCATTTTATCAGCGTCCTCACCAAATAGGACTATATCATCTGCGTATTCTGAGTCGATAAGTGGACCTCCTGGTAGGAGATCAATACCCGAGAATTCAGTAGACCATAACACCATACTACGTTGACATGGAGAGTCCACCTAGGGGAGTTGGAAATCCGTGATTCCAAAACAAGGGTGCACATGAGCTCCAGTAACTTAATGGAACAAATGTCATATGAACCAATCGTTGGTCACTGGCTACCATGGGACTGCATCTCCTTACGTCACTCCACTGCCTTGTGGATAAGACCTTCATGTTGAAGGCTCCGGTCGTGCCACCCTAGGAAAACCACCTGCTTCGGTTTGGGCACCCGGGCAGTATCACAGCCCTCACACAAATCGAATGAGATTTGTGTGGCACATATTTATTTGGTGGCTCATTGTACCAATATCTGTGTTAAAATAAATATAAATAAATAAATAATTCACTGACGCTCTGAATCCATGTGCCGAAAAGACTGACCGAACTTCAGTCCTGAATATCAGCAACGGAATAACTCAAAACCTTTCTCATTCCGATATAACATATTGGGGACTAAGTGTAGAAAAGTAATGGATGTATTCCTTTTTCCTGTAAGACTATAATTTATGGACTACCTTTGGACGACACTAAATTGACCTTGAGATTGTTCGGTTAATAACCAGGACTAAATGAGGGTTATGAACCTTTGTGAGGAATTATAATTATAATTTACAGTTAATGATTAAGCTTAGGAATTAGATTTAGGGTTTTCATCCCATACTGACATCAGCTATAATGCCAAAACTCTATTTAGCCAAATGGATGAGTGAATTTCTCCCCAAAATCCGAAATCTATTATCTTATTCGTGATTGGTTCGTCCATAAATTATGTTCTTGTTTTTTTCTAGAGTTCAGATTTTAGTTCATACATAACTAAGTTTTTATTGTTTTGAAAAACCTAATACAAACATTTCAACAATAACACTATATCTGTTCGTGGATCTCGTTTTTTGAATTACTAATATCAATAACGTCAAATGTTGCTGATCATAGTTGTTATACTGTGGGAAATCCATCTGAAATAGTATATTTCCAATCATCAGTTACCGTCGTTTCTCTCAATAATTCAGATTTTAAATAAGAGTCTGTTGAACTACACCGTATAATTAATTAAGGGGAAGCTTACTAACTGTAATATTGACTAAATAAAATTGCCCAATTCATTAATTGCTTTGTATTTCAATGCTATATCAAGTAAAATATTTAATATTTAGTCCTGAATATGGTGTATCCACAGTTTTTAATTACTAGCTAGGAACATTTGTACCATATACCTTTATTGATTTACGAAATGTTTATGAATTCAGTGTGGTAATTGAACTTCGGAGCTGCTCTGATGCCTGTGATTAATAATTTATATTCGCACAACAGTCAATTGACATTTGCCGTACATACTTTTCTACTGTTATTATTTATTCCGGTAAGTAATCATAATACAATTGCATAAGAATAAAACAAATAGAGTATTGAAAACCGATGGCTGTTAGTCTTGACGATATATGTCCTTCAGTTTAATATAACTTTTATGTATGAGCAGACAACTAATCAAAGGTTAAGAGGGTTTGATTTCATTGTAAGCTTCTAAAAATCAGTACTAAACAAAAAAAAGCTTTCGCATACCATTTTCAATTGTACGTGAGAGAAAACGTATTATCACGTCCTCTTACTCAATAAGATTGTTTTTTTCTGTTCATTGGATTTGTATCACCTCTGATCCCTTTAAACGGTATTTCGTCAGTAGATTCTCACTGCTTACTTTTCGTCTTGTTAATTTTCTATTGATGTGATGATATGTAGTGTGGCAACTTGAACGGATAAAAATTTGAACAACGTTTTATACTGATAATAAGAAACTTTAAGTCAAATAAAAGCAAGTATTATAAAGTGGACCCCAAATCAAAAAGTAGTGTCAATCCATGAGGTACTTATTCTCTGGTTGTCTGCCTGATCATCAGAGTCAGTAATCGGAGACATTGTCTAATTTGGCCCTAAACCAGTCACAATGTTCCAAATTCTCCCACTCTTCATCATCCTCTTGATCTTCAGTTCCAGTATTTCTGCATACATATCGTCTCATTTTTGTGTTTTCGAAATCGACTTTAAATTTTTTAGTTGTTTCCGGCGTTATTGATGTTAAACAATTTTGAGTCCTTTCCATATTTTTAAAAAATTCATATCGTCGTTTTAACGTAACATGACAGCATGAACAGGCACACACTTGTGTCAGACTACGTTATTCATAACTTACTGACGGGCTGACATTTTAAATCTTTATTTATTGTGTTTGTCTAGTCAATAACTTAATTTTTCTTTGAAATTACAGAACCTGTTGACTTTCAAAGTAAATTGGATTCACTTGTACAAATAGCTCAAGTGAGTTTCATTAATTTAGTTGTCACTGAATAATCCTTAAAAACATTAACCGTTGACTATCTATATTAGGTGACTGTGGACATATTAATATTCAAGTTTAACGTTGCAGTACTTCTGTCGTGGTAATGTAAGTATTTTAATCTTGTCTTAGATGTAAGTACAAGAATATACGTTAACGACAAATCTAAATGATAGCTAGTACAAAGAAAAACTCTTCGTCCCTTGGTACCAATTTAAGATAAAATTCCGTTTCTAAATTATCTGTTTAAGTAGCTGTTATTAAGAGTTGCAAGTCCTTGTCATCTGCTTTAAGAGAACACGATTTTACACATTATATTGGCTGTCACTCCAGTTCGAAAAGGTTGTTTGAATATATACACGATTATAAATCAAAAATAATATATTTGTAATATCCCAATCAGTAAAAAAGTTAAATTTTCAGACGTTTCGTGACTCAGTGCAAACCACTTCTTCAGAGAATAAATAACCGAATTGTTAAAAGTGATTTACACTGAGTTAAGAAACGTCAGAAAATTTAATTTTTCTACTCATTGAGATATTAAAAATATATTGTTTTTACTTCTAACAATTTACCCAATGCTGAATTTCTTTAAATTATCGAGTCAAACCTTAGTAATTATACCTATATACACAATTAATTTATCACTAGATGATGAACAATATTATACTTGCCTAGTTCGCTAGTTCTCAACGAATTTTTACGATCAGTTCACTAAAAGTTGCAGTTACGTTTTCCCAGCGATTGCCAGCTGTCGACCGTAGCTGCTGCCTTAACGTGATGGTCGGGCTTCCCTATCGTGATGACCCAACCGAACTATATTGGCTAGAACATATGTTCCTGTAGGTTCTACCATGCCAGGCAGGTCGATCGGAGAAAGGTAAGACTAAAAGCAGAAACTCAAGATCTGAGGGCAAAGTCGTACTGCTGACTGTAGAGGGGTGTGGCAGCAGTAAGGTGTTTCCCTCGGACAACCAGAAACTGCAGCGACGCTGCCTTCTCACAAGGAAGGAAAGGGTTAGATAAGGTCCAACCCAAAAATGTCACACCCCACTTCACCTCACGAATTCCCGTCTGCGGTGGCAAAGCCTTTCGAAGTACGGAGCTAACACGTTAAAAGCTCCCCTACGAAAAGGCTGTGCGCGACCGGCCTCAGGCAGTTGTCCCTCGGACTCTGCGGTCACGCTCCCAAGTCGTCAAGACCAACACTTATCCGACTTCTTTTACAGGTTCCTCAAGAAATACCCTTCCATGATATGGGCAGCCGGAAAGTGATATCAGCCCTCATACACGTAACAGCACACGAGACCAAGTCGGTCACATTCAAATCCTCCCCACACATAATAACCCTTCTCACGTCCCTTCATCACCTCGCACCTCTAGTGCAAATGATTCGAGAACGCAGAACTTTATTCCTGGTCTCCTGAAACCATACTCTAAACTACTTGTAGGAGCTTTCAGCGTTCAAACACTGTGACAAATAGTCAGTCAGTCAGTCAGCTACAACGTAGGACCAGGCACATATATGCATCGGTCCAAGTTGCCATACCTCATTAACACAACAAGATGGACACCAGATTCATATAAGTAGCTAATTCAGAGGTGGTAATATATAAAAGAAAGATTGCAATAAGGATATGGTACAGCAAGAAAGAGTTAGTTCGTAGAAAGAAAGATATGAAGCGATTTTAATCTCTTAGTTTAAGAGAAGACAGAGAGTGTATACACCTACGCCATTGTGATCGATTCTGAGCCATGTCACACAGAGTCTCCAACCATTGGTTACGAAAGTCACGCGGACCCCAACCAAGTAGTCTGCATCTACCAACATGACTCAGACTAGAAGTTAGTGACTTCAAGCACTGATGCCACGTTTTGGTTTGGCCGCCCCTAACTTTCTTCCAACCATTTCTAATACCGGATAGCATTGCACGTCGTGGTAATCGGTGTTCAGGCATACGTAACACGTGGCCCAACCATATCAGTCGATGAAGATTCACAACCTCATCAACTGATTTACCATCATCATTCCCTAATACCCTACGTCTAACCTCGCTATTACTTACCCGGTGATCCCAGCAGACGCCAGCAATATTTCTAAGGCGTTTGTGGTCAAATACTAGTAGCTTACGAGTGTCTTCTACTCTTAATGACCATGTTTCGCTGCCGTAAATTAAACTCCCTATCCTTAGTTCAGGTGTTGACGTAGACCAGTCCTGAAGCAACAACTTGCATTTAGAGGGAGAGAAGCGCATTCCAAACATTCTGGCATTGTTGCTTAGTGCTACCAGAAGACTCTGCATTTTATCAGCGTCCTCACCAAATAGGACTATATCATCTGCGTATTCTGAGTCGATAAGTGGACCTCCTGGTAGGAGATCAATGCCTGAAAATTCAATCGACGAGAGCGTTATTTCCATCAGTAGGTCTATGATGAAGTCAAATAAAAATGGAGAAAGTGGACAGCCTTGACGGACACCACTTGAGGTCGCAAAAGTAGATGACAGTTCGCCATAAGCCCTGACTCGATTGGTAGTGTTGGAGTAAAGAGCCTTCACAAAGTTTATGTACTTCTGAGGTACGCCTTTCAATGACGGACAATACCACAGAATCTCGCGGTCTACTGAGTCAAATGCTGCTTTTAAGTCAAGAAAGACCACCTTTGTCGGACGTCGATAAGTATGCCTGTGTTCTAGAACCTGACGAATGGTAAATATGTGGTCGATGCAGCCACGACTAGGTTTGAAGCCAGCTCGGTTCTCTCGTGTTTGCAGTTCACGAGTCTTAGTAAGGCGTCTGATAATTATCCAGGCTAGTATTTTAAATACTATGTTTGTTAAACTAATCCCTCTGTGGCTGTCACAGGATGATTTTGACCCTTTCTTATATATTGGGACGATAAGTGATTGTGACCAGTCAGATGGAATAACGTCTGACTCCCAGATCTTAGCTAAAATATTAGTCAACCTTATCGCTAAAATTGGACCACCATCCTTAAAGACTTCTGGAGCCAATCTATATGGACCAGCTGCCCTTTCTCGTTTCAGATTAACTATAGCCTTTTGAACTTCTGCTAGAGTTGGGGGGCCTACCTCAATGTTACATTCACACTGTCTGGGAATGGAGGGTAGTTGTAGTTGAAGGCCAGCTGAACTGTTCTCTGAAATGTTCCGCCCATCGTTCTAGACGTCTGGACTGAGAGAAGATGAGGGTGTCGTCTTTTTCCGAAATAGTCTCACTTACACTTGACTTATTAATTCCAGTCCCTTTTATTAGTCTGTAAAGCTGTCTTGTGTTCCCTATAGCCGCCGCCTTTCCATCTCTTTTGCTTTCGTTGCCCACCACTGCTCACGGTCGTTCCTTAGACTTTTGATTAACCTAGATCTGATTTGTTTACGCTCTTCATTGTGTTCAGAACCTGATGGGATGAGTTCACGAGAATCCATCAGTGTGATAGACCTTGAAGAAATCCATTGGTTATTTGTGACCCTGTGGTTTATTCATTGATATATGTCACTGCTGTTTCCACAGCTGATTGTATAGCTGTAAAAACGAAGTACCATCTCGATTCACGCTTCGTATATCTGGAAGCCCTGATTCTGCTTTCCGTGGCCTCGCTGGTGTGGGTATGGCGTTGAGTTCTAGGGCAGATTAGCTCACTTAGACTGCATCCCAATAGACAGTCGTTTGTGCGCTGTCCGACTAAACGGAACAGTTAGGACTCGGAAAGATAGCGACACTCGTCGTTGCCTCTTCGTCGTCTCTGCCTACTCTCCCACTGACTGCATCTCAAATGATGTAAAAGATGAGTTTTACAGAAAGCTTTCTGACCTCCGAAAATCTAGGCGTTCTGATGTAGTGATAGCGGCTGGTGACTTTAATGCTCAAGTAGGTAAACTAGGAGAAGGGGAAAACACCTGGGTGGAACCTTCGGGAGTCTTGGCTCTGTTACAGCTATGCTCAGATAACCGCCTATTTCTAGCAATTACTAACTTTAAGTATTAGGAAGAATAGAGTCAGCTTAAGCGCAGGCTGAAAGGAGGCTACGTAATGCTCATGAACAGTGGTGGGTAGCAAAACCAAGAGAGATAGAAAAGACAGTGGCGGAAGGTAACAGTAGACAACTGGGTGAGACTATAATTTTCGGACGACCTTAGAGAGACATTAAGGTGACCTTAAGGATGTCCACCTAGTTACTACGGCTAAATGAGTGTTATAAATCAGTTTGAAGAATAAGGATTATAATGTACAGTTGATAGTTAGGGTTAGAAATTAGATTTATATTTTTCATCACGAACCTACATCAGCTAAAATGTCAAAAAGCTATTTGGTCAAATAAATGAATTTCGCGTCTTAATCCAAGACCTGTTATCCCAAATCTGATTGGTTCGTCCTCAATTTCTAGTCCCTCCAACAACTGTTCAGACTTGCCAAGGAAACCGGTATTAGGAATACAACTGTTGGCGAGACTAACTCAGAAAAAGATAGACATATTATTCACCCTTAATCCAGGAGATTGGATCGATGGGCAGAACACTTTATGGATCAGTTCAACTGGCCTTCAGCCACACTTCGGTTTCCCACGATCACCAGTCTACCTGAATGGCAAGTTAATATAAGTCCTCCAACTCTTTATGAAATTGAAAGATCTGTAAGAAATCTGAAGCGAGGAAGAGCAGCAGGCCTTAACAGGTTTACTCCTGAGGTTTTTAAAGATGGTGATTCAGTTTTAGCAGTGAGATTGACTGAGGTCTTAGGTAGAATTTGCGAACCGAACGAAATCCCATCTGACTGGTCTCAATCACTGATTGTGCCAGTCTATAAAAAAGGAGAAAAGTCCTCTTGTGACAATCACAGAGGAATCAGTTTGACTAACACAGTGTCTAAAGTATTAGCTTCAATAATACTTCGACGCCTAACTAAACCTCGCGAAGAGCAGACTAGAGAAAATCAGGCTAAAATATTAGCTTCAATAATACGTACGTACTTACGAAGTTCTACGTTGTTACTGACTGCCAGCTGTCTTAAAACCTGATTCCAGGTTTTCCTGTCGACTGATTCCCAATACGTAACAGTAGGATATTAAATCATCATTGGATGAGAGTTACTTCGTACAACAATTTGACTAAAGGTAAAAATTTCAACAGTGGACTCCTGAATCAGTGCCCTAATGATGATGACCAGCCGACTCCCGAATTCGTGTCCTTATTTCGAATCAATGTGAATGGCTTCTGACTGACTGAGCTTCTGAGTGACCCTTGTTTTCATTAATTCACTAACAGATATCAGTTCGTCGTGGTGAATATCTTCAAAATATTACCAATTATGTTGTATTTCAGTTTGTAACCGTACAACTTAAGTGACGATTTAGTGAACAAAATTATTCTAAGTTCCGTTTTACTGTCGGTGTTGTATACTAATAAATTCTACCACACATATAATAGCTTCAACTAAAAGTCCCAATTCATTGATAGTTCTCACTCCACTTTCACAAATTTTCTCTTGAAGTCAAGTTCTTATTCTTCTGTTTTTACAGAGCCTAGAAACAGATGATGATTTAGCGAATCAAATTTCATTTGATATTGCTCGTCTCTCGTCTCAAAATACTGTTCTATTTAAACAACTATGTAAATCTGTCACCTTACAATCCAAGTTGGCTGCTTTTTTACGTCGAAGGTTTCATCAAATTCGTGTAAGTCACGTTAATTTTTATCACTGAATTTGTTGTGCTCTTGGCTGTCTAGCACTTACTGGATAATGCACTTCGTTCTATTTGATGTGATCGACGATAACAATGAGTTAGAAACAGTGTAGTGTATATTTTAAAACGTCAAAATTGATAGTTTCGAACGTATGAAATCCTTAATTCTCACTTTTTAAGTTGTACATAGAAGTCAAATCGACCCTCTTCCCAAATACTAAAATTAAACCCTTAATCTTGAAGGAAACTTTAGCCTGCTTTTCATTCGTATTAGCTTTCGCAAATTAAGAATTACAATGTAGTCAACTGCTTGTTTAGTTTATTTTAATTGACTAGCATTAATGATGGGTTAAGACCAAAAAACAATACCAGTTTATTATCAGGTACTTCTTAAGAATACGATTTATTTTAACTGTAGATCGCCAATAGGAATTTCAATGTTGTCATGAGATTTCATGCCTTGTGTTACGTATCTTTCTTTTTTTTCACTTTTGAATAATAATTTAGATGAAACGATTGGCTGAGGCATTTTTCTGTCAAGAATTATCACTTGTCAATTTACTAGCTATTTATGACTCAAGGTAACAAATAATATTTGTCTTTATAGAGCTAATTTTACATCATTTATGTAGTAGACTTTTTTTCACAATTTGTATAGTTTTAATGGAGCTGTAAATCAATCGTTACAAACAGTCTGCTCGCAGTCGTTCAGTCACAAAATATTACCCTTATGTTGTTATTTAGGTATAGACGATATGCTAATACCGTGAACTTCCATTTAAACCGTGTATTTCAAAGATGAATAGGTTGATATGTATCTACAAAATAATTCATTGTTATACAGTCGTGTTTTAAGCAAACTCCACCTAACTGAGAAATTCATCTCGTACATGTACATTTCACTTCAAATTGTGACATCTCCATTAGTGCAAGCTAGACGACTTCAGTACTTTATAATAACAACGTTGTGATTGTATTTCACTCGTTAAAGTGCATTTAGAACAGGTTCAACTGAAATTATGATTTATTCACATGACTTAAATTTATTTAACTAATATTGATATGAACCAAATGTCAGAATAGAAAACACTTTACTTGTCAGTGTGCAATCAGTCACCTGTAGTAGTATATGTAATGTGACTGAGTAACCGCTACTCGAAAACATCGAATTACTGACTTAAAACTTCTAAACAAATAAGATATCAAACTACGAAACAACCGACCATTAAAAAAGCCATTCCTCCTTCAGAAATATGGTGCACTCTTAAAAGTAATTGTAACATAGTTTTTCAGACCACTGTCTACTAACCAATGAAATTTAAACTCTAATACTAGACTTACTTCTTGTCCTTCATATCATTTGCATTACTGACCACTTTGCAACCATTATATAATTAAACTGAAATGTAAAGTATTGCTAGTGTATTAGCTTAATACATTTCAAATAATCTTATGTTAAACGAACAAGCTGAACCAATGGTCACAACGACATGCTAACACACACTAATGATAAGTCTCATACGAAAACTAAAAGACGAAAAGTGAATGTCCGGCGCTTCAACTGGGTTAGTAGATATGGAGGATCCACCGAGGAGAGTTGGAAAACCCTAATTACAAACCAATGGTGCACATGGACTCCAGGATCCTGAGGAGACAAATGATGTATGAATCTATTGTTGGTCACCGACTACTATGGGACTGCTTCATTGCCTTGCGGATTAGAACTGTAGGTCAAAGGATTGGAGTGTGTTCCTTTAAGAAAACCACCCGCATCGGTTCAAGCGCTCGGACAGTATCTCAGCCCTCACACGGATGGAATGATTTGTGTGGTGAACATATATTTGATGCCTCCTTGTACCAATGTTTATGTGTTTAAATATTTGGTTGCGATTTTCTTGTACACTCGATAGAGGGAACATATTCTAATTGAACTAATATTTGTAGACAGGGCAGCTACCTATTTGAATTTACTTAGTTTTCTGACGGAATACCACCCTTATGTTCGAAATCAAAGATTGTAAAGTATGGTACATCATTTCATATTGAATTGAGCCTAAGATCTTTAGCCATCTTTCATACCTAGCATAGTGTGTTCTATAGCAATGTAGTCCAAAATCAATGGCTTACAGTTCCTTTGATTTTCGATAGTAATTCTCGTTATTATCAGTTTATGTTAGAAACTGCTTACAACTAAGCGAAATATTATACAACTCGGACTGACTTTAGCTAAACAATATCTGAAAACCAGGGAGCACTAGATAGCTGTTTCGCGCAAATATAAGACATTTGTTTGTTCATTTAAATATGTTAAGTAGTGACTAAGCTCTGATTTGGTTGGTACAACACAGATCTATCCACTCTCTTTGTTCTTTTCTTGAAAATTAGAGTTTTAGAATTTTCTTATACTTTTTTTCATTCCACGATTTCATTCTTTTTCCTCACATTTGATTGTTCAATTAATATTGATACTGTTACTACTTTGAATTCCTTAGTATTTGTCTTGATTATTTAATTTCGGTATCGTGATGAAGTGTGACAAGTTGAATCGTTGCCCATTTATGTGCTATGTTCTGCACTGTTTATGCCTGATTGAGTTTAAACATCACTTGGAAATTTTCTATTGTTGTTTGATTTTACATTATTTTTATAAAAACTTCAAGTTATTTTGATGCTTAAAGATTTTTCTAAGAAATTTTCATATTTCAGTGTTGTAGGACATGAATCACTTGCTAATGATGTTCGCCAATCAGTTTATTTTCAAAAACTTCCAACTTTACCAGTTACCTGTCGTGAGTTAGACGGTGATGTTACTAATCTACCGATTATCTTCGAAGACATCTTTTTACCACATAATAATAATAACAATAATAATAAGACAAAATCATTGAATTTATCTCAACCAATTAATGGTAATAATAATAATGCAATATATACAACCAATCCACCAAAAACAAAATATACTTCAATGGAGTTATTGTCAACTCATAAATCCCCATCTACCATTGATGATGATGCATTTACACCAATAAAAACTCGTTCAGATGATAATGAGTCCGGTATTTATATGGAGGAAGATGTAGTGGGAGTAGGAGTATTATCAAAGACTGCAACTAGAAATAAGTCAACTGATTTATCTAAATGTGACACAATACCAGGTAAATGAATTTAATATTTTTCTTCATTTTGTGTCTTCTTTTCTACCTTCACTATGTATTTTCCACCACTTTCAAGTTTAATAATGACTGAATGGTTAAAACACTAAACGTCATCTTCGTTTAATCCTCACGTTCAAACCCCTGTCTATCTAATTTAGTCTGGACGGTCGAGTGGTATCATCCAGCGCTTACATAAATTATGTAACTTCCAGCTGAATCCAAACGACTATTGTTATGTCAATCAACTAATGTGCATACTTTTGTAAACAGAAAGACATCTCTTCTAAACTAGGGATAACTGACCTCTTTACTTATAATCAAATGTTAAGAATAGAACTCTATGGATAAGTTAGTTAGTCAGCCCGAGCAACTATGTTACTCCTCACCGTCAAATTGCACATCGGCCGAGGCCAGCCTTGGAGAAATAAATAACTCATCCTAAGAATTTCTCTTGTTGCTTAAGGTGTTCAAATGGCTGTGTTTCTTCAGCTATTTAAATATGTCTCACCGTAAATCAATCTGTGGATGTTAAAGTAAAAGAAGTTGAATCAAACAAATATTAACTTTTAAAGCATGTATAACGATACTAGGTAAAGAAGAAAAATATGGAAACTGTTTGACATGACTGATTTAACTCATGGTTCAACATAAGCTCCAGCCAAATAACCATTTTTTGGGTTATGTACTTGTTCTATAAAAACGTTTCAATGACTATAACTTGAACGTGGTTCCTAAGGGTTTTGGAGTTTTTTTTTCGTTTTAACAAGCGTTGCCTATGTTATGTTTACGTGCTGTTGTCATGGTAGCTCCAATGGTATCCTAACATCATATTTTGTTTACTACAGTGATAAATAGCATCTTAATATACATATACAACAAACAAATGATTTACATAATCTTTGATTTCCCATAGTACTGATATTACTTATGACGTTGTGAATGCAAAAATACCCTTTCCCGTCCTATTTTTTTGGCAACGCCTTCCTTTAGTTTAGGTTTTATTGGTTTTTGTAGACTTGTTTTTGTAAAAAGGAAGTGTTAATTATATTTTTTTCGGACCGTTTTGTATATTTGATTTGTTATCTACATATCCGACTGTTTAATATAATTGTTGAACGAACTGGTCTCCTCAGCTGAACTCCTTATTGTTACAGCTAATGATGATACATGTTTCTCCAAACTGAAGTAAATAAAGTTGGGTTCGAGGGTATGACTTAGTGGCCAAAAGTCGAACACCCTAACCACTACTTAGTTACAATGTAGTTTCAAATTAGCTTCCGTCATAGGCACCGAATTTAACTAGATAATAATTGGAAATTAAGGAATATTAAATGGTTGTTTCGTTATTGTACAAAACTAGCTAAAGAGATATTAGAAAAGTTCCTGCGTATTTGTGGTGCTACATCGTAGAAGTAGAGTTAATATCAGTACACACACACTATTCCTCCAGAGAATAAAATAAAGACTTGCGTTCCTCGCGACAATCACATCCACTTTTTAAGCAATAAGTGAGTATCTGGTAACTCATATTTACAATTTAATTTAATTTCCATAGTATAGTTCGCCAAATTTTTTTCACTTCATTTGTTGCAATCATTTAGACTATTAGGATTTAATGAAAAGGTTGTTTTCTGTTTCATTATAAGAAAAACAATAAACCGCCTGTTACTTTAAAATTATTTTATCACTTGAGTTTCTATCATTAACTAACACAATTAAGCTGCATTTTAACTGCCTCTTGTTAGACATGTAGTATCCCTAACCCACACATGTAATGCATAATTTGTTTGCTAAACAGTTTAAGGAGATACAATAAAGTTTTATGCACTACTATCATTTCCATTTTATTTTACAGAGACTACACTTAGACTCTACCTCTTCTATACCAAGTATTCTTCAGTACTAAATAGTGGTCTATACTTTTTAAAATTTATATGTAGGTGTGTTTTTTTTGCTGGATGTGTTTGAGGACATTACAAGTTTACGACTAAGCTTTCAATTGATTTACCTGAGTAACCATTTTGTTTTTATTGTAAATTTCTTTATTCTATTGATCCTACTTTTACATCAGGTATTTCGTCTAGTTATGTAAAAAATGTATGAAACTGGGGTGTCAATAAAAACAAAGGGGTAAAAGAATAAAAAATAGCTTTGTTGGTTGATACATTTTGTATATGACTTAAAATCTACAAGTGTCTGAAACAGCATTCAGCAGAGTTATCCAAAATTAGATTCATCCTACCCAAATTCTCTGGTACGACCAAGAGTTAAGAGAGTCATCTCTCGCTCTCGAAATACTTTCTTATGACCACGCGTACATAGCCACTGACAGAGACGTTCTACTCACCGCCCTTTAAAGCTCATGTTTTACAGACATAAAGTCGGATAGAGTGAACCTTTGCACATTGATCTCGTCCTTTCATTGTCATCCATTATAACTAGATTAAATTACTGTTAGCCAAAGCTGACTATCGCTTTAACTTTACAGAAATCAAACGCTTACCAAACAATCAGTGTTAATTCGTCAACTCAAATAAATGTAATCATCGTAACTTAACGTAAATGAATGCTATTGGTCTTTTTTAAATATACCGTATCGCGTTAGATCAAATAATTTTCGAATAAATTGACCTTTGTGCTTTCTCATGTTACTTTTTTAAAATTCATAATAGTTATTATTTGTTATCTGTTCAAATACATAAACATTGGTACAAGGAGGCATCAAATATATGTTCACCACACAAATCATTCCATCCGTGTGAGGGCTGAGATACTATCCGAGCGCTTGAACCGATGCGGGTGGTTTTCTTAAAGGAACACACTCCAATCCTTTGACCTACAGTTCTAATCCGCAAGGCAATGAAGCAGTCCCATAGTAGTCGGTGACCAACAATAGATTCATACATCATTTGTCTCCTCAGGATCCTGGAGTCCATGTGCACCATTGGTTTGTAATTAGGGTTTTCCAACTCTCCTCGGTGGATCCTCCATATCTACTAACCCAGTTGAAGCACCGGACATTCGCTTTTCATCCTTTCATTTTCATAAACAGCCCCCGCACCGCTATAAAAATTTTAAACTATATAGTAAATATGTATTTCAACGGTAATCGCGAGCGTATGAGTAGTAGGAGAGAAATGTGAGTTGGGACAGTATTAAATGTGTATTCTACAAATCAAATAGACGTCCAAACAATGGTTTTATGACTGCGATTAGAATAAGCCTGAATTAGAAATGAATATGTATTGTATTCGAATTAACCAACAATTTTTCCAATTGTAATCAGAACACAAATAAATAGTGATTAAACTATACTGCCATTTAAATGGAATTAACAATAATCTGATCTAATCGGATATAAATTGAACCGAATAAAATTAAACTGAATTAAATAGATATAAATTACATAGGTTATAGAAACGAATGCAATCAACAAGATTGATACAATTCGGTGGTCATACAAACATACTGGCAATCACTTATATAAAAAATAATATATAGATAAGAGTTCGTATACAGGTCATATAGATGAGTACATAATGAAAAAAACGAATTAAATTGTCTGTTAGAATGAAAAATGTCTGTTAGCCACGTGAAAATCCAATCTCATTAGTAGGCCAGCTGATCATATGCTTAAAAACGTCGATCATTTTATAAGCATCGCAAATTTTTCATGCCTCCTCATAGTAAATTAAATTACCTTTTCTATGTCTGTATTATATATCAGAACTAATTCATTTCTATATTTCTTATTTACAGTTAATAAAGAAGAATCTACACCTATATCAAACTATATTTATCCATCAAGTGTACCCAATCCTCTTTCAAACTATCAACTTCAAAATTTTTCTCATTCAAGTCCTAATCTCTTATCATCATCACCATCATTACAACAAATTCATGTAAAAACTAGACCAATTTTTAAACCATTTCTTACTACAGTTAACAATATGACAACCCCACAATCTAAACGCAAATTTCACTTACCTAGTAACCATAGTCGGAAATTTCATTATTTTGACAAGTCACGTGAATCTAATGTTCTATCACATTTAAATAGTAATAACTCAAAAGTTAAATTAGTTGGTTACCGTTCTATTCAACCAGCAGAGAACGACGATATAAGGAATCAATATTCTGGCTTATCTGATAATCGACGTAGATTGACTGAATCCTCTTTCAATATTTATTCCGATATAAATCATTGTTCATATTCTTCTACTGGCCTACGTCCTATCGGTGGTCTGGCTATTCGAGAGTAAGTAGAATAATGTTTTGTTTGTTTTTTTACTCCATAATCTTTTATTCATGAAATATTCCATCAAATTAAAATGTAAAATTTGACATTTGTTTCAATGATTTTCTATACTAAAGATGATAATTATTTTCAGTGTTCCTATCAAGTTCATAAAAAATTTCTACATCTTCTTTGCTTTGATTGTTGACTGATGTCCATTCAAGAAAATAAAACTATTAAGACATAGTCAGTTAGTTAATCAATCATTCTGTCTACTTTCATTTTTAACTTCGCGATTTGTCTGCTTAATTCAATGAAAATATCATATCAATTTGGATATCCCATCAATTGTAGATTATTTAACGAATCACTCAGACTAAAGTTATTAACTCCCGAAAAATTGTACATACTCCTTGTTGTCAGGACCTAAGCCTAATGTTTCCTCTCAACAACCTCCAATCATCTAGGATATCATCAATGCAATCCACGTCATGTTTAATCACTTAAATTAACAGTCACAATACACTTCGGTCGCCACAAAAGAATTAAATAAATATAACATCAATAACCACGCCAATTAAAGTTGTAATTTATCTCCTAAACTTCTATTCTCAAATAAGTACATTTTGTCGTCATATTTTGATCCTAATACACATATTGAATATTTCTCGTATTAAAGAAGCTTATGCATTGCGGGATTTATATTACTGAGAGGTTATCAATCCCCAAATTGTATACCATGCCACAAACACATTTTATTGATTTTCAATCTTTCTTTAACATCAAACGTGTTATTTATTTTCATAGTTTACATTCTCGAACAACTGATTTTCGATAAACAACCACTGAAAATCAGATAGTACTGAACTGCTGTTCAGTTCCAGTATGCAATTAACCTTTAGACTACTCAGTAAGCATCCAATGGTTTGCATTTCTAGCTTCAATTCACGATATCTCGCAACCAGCTTCGAACAAAATTCTCGGGTAAATTACTTCGCACTCGGCATAGTTAGAAACTACTGGTTGCTACTTCTCATTATTGTGAGACCGGAAATTCCTTGGTCGGATCCCTCTCATGGAGTCGTATATGAGCATTTTTGGAGTGTCCCATACTATAAATAAATAGCTACTTAGTTTTTACTGGTTGTCTAAGTCAGGTCAATTAGTAAACTACATAACCCAATAATCTCAGCAAACTCATGACACTAATATTATTTATTTTAATTTTTTAGCATGCGTTCTCGTTCCCTTTACAATTTATCACTGAAATCACCTCAAGTAAAATGTACTAATTTAGAAACGATCAATATAAATAATAATTCATCAAAATCCACATCTTTATCTATGTTGAATATTTCAAGTGAACTGAACGATACACTATTGTTTCAATGTTCACCAAAAAATAAAGACAGTAAAATTTTGAATTCGAATTCATTAACGTCACCAAATTACATCAATTCAAAGTTGTCCAATCATAATAAATCTCATGAAGTTATTGCATTAGGTACTTTAAAAATTCCTCCAACAAAACCACCCGGTGGATGTGTACCATCTGAACACATATCTAAAGAAACAGATTCCCTATTGCCGTGTAATCATCTCTACAAAACTAATATTGGAAGCAGTTCTATTTCCCTACCGAATATTCCACTTTCATGTATGATTCCAAGAGTAGTTTCAGAAGGATGTCTCACAAATATTTCATCAGTAGATCAATTTTCCTGGAGTAAATCTCGAAGGCGAGTAAAAGTTCGAAATCTCAAAAGAAATCATATGTTTGCTGCTAGGTATGTTGATTTCATATTCATACATTTTTACTTCAAAAACACCTTATTTCAAAGAAATTCACGAACAACTCTGTTTTGAAACATTCAAATACCTTGTTTATATTATTATTATTATTATTATTATTATTATTATTATTATTATTATTTAGAATTTCATTTTTCTCGTTATTGATATTTATAACTGCATTTTGACCAGTCTTTGTTGGCATTGATTCATCTTGCGTGAATTCCTCCAATATAACCATTTTGCCCCCGAATGCCCCGGCATGGCCGAGGACAGGAAGAGTCCGCTCTCCCTCTCCAAATGCTATCAGATAGCCACGCGTATACAGCCACTGCCTTCTCGCAGCAGGGTTTTTCTGTACGAGATTGAAAGGAGGAAAAGCGCATGTCCGGTGCTTTAACCGGGCTGGTGGACACGGAGGACCCACCTAGGGGAGTTGAGAAAACCTGGTTATAAATCAATGGTGCACATGGACTCCAGGATTCTGAGAGAACAAATGAAGTACGGACTAATTGTTGGTCACTGGCTACTATTGGACTGCATCTCCTGACGTTGCTTCACTGCCTTTTGGATCAGATCTTTAGGTCGAAGGCTCTAGGTGTGGCCATATGGCTTCGGTCTAGGCACCCAGACAGTATCACAGCCCACACACAAATCAAGTGACTGTTGTGGCGCATATGTATTCCATGCCCCTTTGTACCAATATTTATGTGTTCAAATAAATAAAAAGTAACCATTTTGTCGCAATTTCTTTTCGAAATGGAAGAATTGTAGCTAGCCCAAGGAATGTGTGACATGGATTTCATCTTATGTGTGGAACTTGTCAGCTGGTTGCACCTGCACTCCAGTGTTAATGTACACATTTTCGATATGATAATTCCTTTACTATTAAATTTCTTGACTTTATCTATTCATGGTTACTGGGATATTATCTTTAAATCTCCAAAACAAATTAATAATCTTTACTGTCTCCCCCCTCACAGATTCATTCCTTTGTTTTTTATCAAGATGTTCTTACCTATAAGTGTCTCGGTACATGGCACTTTTGGACATCGAGTTATTTAAGATTATCTCAAAGCATCCTGTTAACTATCTTCAACCACCTGAAGTGGAATAATGTGGTCGCATCCCGCAACCAATTAGTTGAACATTGTGTGCTCTGTACATCCACTGACCAATTGCCCCAAAATATAAGTATTAAAAGTGCTGTTTAACGTCAAACTAGCATTAAAAATAAAATGTTACTCAATGTAATACACTCTGAGAAGAATTAAATCGTAAAAACCTGTTAATTAAGCCAATATCTCTAAAAATCATTTTCAGTTTAGTCATGATAGTCAATCTACCTCAACAAACCCATGTAGTTTTATCGAGAAGTCATGACTGATGAAGTTCAAACATGTCTTGGGGGAAACAGTTGGATTAGATTATCGTTGCATTATACTGCAAGACTTAATGAATTTCAAATCACACCATCGAACCGACTGATTCTAATTGTTAATCATTCGCTACGAGTCCTGAAGATCTGGTGTTCCATTCTTGTTTGAGTCATGGGCACACTGTTGAAGAGTTCCATGCTAGAATAAGACATATGTCTAATGTCATCTTGTTCCTAGTGGCAAAATAACTGGAATCAATCTGTAACTAATACTACCCACAAAAATACCATTCATGTCAGAAATAACGTTTTCTGGGTTTTTTTATTCCTTACAGTGCACTATGATAGTTTGTTTACATGTTAATATCCTTAGTCATACTTTACCTCTGTTGTTTTCTATATCCTAGAAAATTGCACTGTAATCAATTGAAAACTTATACTGCAGAGTAAGTTCATTCCATTTTCTTATTTATTTTCTTTAATTAATTTATTGAGTTTATAATAGGATGTTAATGTTTAGAATTTCTATCATTATTGAATGTGTTTACACTGGTTAAAGACTTAATATTAACGACTAGAAAAGTAAGTTTTCAATTAAATCAGTTTTTCTAATTTGTCAATGCTCTATAAATTCATCTAAGAATATGATGTAACTTAACTTGTAAAAAACAAAACAAAATGTAAAATAATCCACCAGCTTAATACAAAATATTCTTATCAACTTTGGGCATATTATCCCAGTATGAATTATCTTTTAAAAGAATCCACTCAATTCATTGATTAAAATCATAGGAGTTACAATGAAGAGCCCATTGGACTGATTTTTCTGCTAATTTAGAACTATCTGTTTGATATTGAAGTAGAAGAGAACTAGAAATCTTTGAATTTTACAACAACTATAGTACCATTAAGTCGAAATTCAATATTGTATGTTTGCTGAGGCTGGTTGCTATTTATACTGTATTCGGATGCTACAATCGTTCGGTGTTATACCGGTGAAGAATGTGCTGGTACTTTACCTTATTAAAAATAGATTCTCCTGAAATTATATATGACAGTCTCATTAACCCTGGTGGGTTAGCATCCGACGAAATCTGGGCTGAGATCCCAAAATCTAAGTTAGCTTTTCTCACCATGTGTCTCATTTATTGTAAGCTGTCTACCAACTAAAGGAAGAGTATACTACGTAGCAGTTTTTTGTGTCTTACTGTATGACTATAAAACATGGCTTCCAAAGATCGAGGATATTTTCAGCCTAACAGTATGTAATCGTAGACGCCCTCGATCACAATGACGCAGATACATACACTCATTGTTTTCCTTTAGGTCTTGAGTTTCAAAACTGTCTTTCATTATTTTATCCCATGAATTCATGTTTTCTTCGCGAATCAGTGTCTGTGATTAGTATTTTTTATGCTACTTCTACTAATACTCTGTGATATCTAAACTTAAAACAGGTCCTCCCTCGCGTGTGACTGACTAAATGCTATGGAAGTGAAACACTAATAAACTGTGCACTCTTGAGATGTTGACTACTTCAAATGTTACTTTGACAGATGCATATTATCAATTGGCGACTCGAAAATGAACAAGGGCGAGTCGGATAACCCACTAGTTTTAGTTTTCATTCAATAATTTGATTAACAACCAGTGGCTTTACATAAGATATGCATAAAAGACTAGTAAGTACGTATTGATGCCAACTTTGCAGATATCAGGTGTATCTTAAATTTCATGCTTAATGTTCATGAAATCTTTGATATTTGATTTTAGTTGTTTGACATGTTAGTGTTGAAGTAACTTGGTTAAACTGCATAACATTACGTAAATGTTTTTATCTTAAACAAGAGCATTATGATCTTATCAAAAAATACTACGTCTATTCTATACATCTGAACAAGTTTTTTTTCTTCAAGTTAACTCATTCACGAGATGCTTGAGTATAAGCCAAAATTTAAGTGTGAGGGCTAATAATGCTACTTTCTTACCCAAAACAGTGCACTGACTAGCCGTTTCGTCCTAGTATGAAACTCTCTAGCATTCCGCTTCCGTGACCACCTGGTCGGGAATCGTACCCAAAACATTCGGCCTTGAGGGCAAACGAATAACCCCCAAACCACCATACTGTATGCCAATAGTGTACAAGTGATCTCGATAAAATTCAGGAATCTCGAAAACTTCATTTTAACAATTTTCATCGGCTCACTAATGACTATCTTTAAGGGAAATTCTATTGAAAAGCCGTGACTAAAGTAGCTCAACCGTGTCGAGTATGAGGAAGTTACCCACTGGAGACAATGGAAGGTAGTTGCTTAGTATCGTGAAATGATTTCATTATTTTACTTCAGCCCAGCGGTCTAAAAGTTATGGGTTTTCCCGAAGGTTCTGGGTTCAAGTGTCGATTACGAAGTAATTAATTCTTACTTCTAGGATGACGTAGTTGCTTCTAGTTCGACTGAGGTCGACTCATGATCTCAATAAAACTCAACAACCTCCCTAATTCTGATTTTGTAAAGCATCGATATAACCGATTCGAAAGTCTTCATAAAAAAAATTATTTTACATTGTGAACTACTATTACAAATAAAGCTTCTGTCATATCCTATGCCCTATCAAATATTACTTGACAAAATTGCAGATCAGAATACCAACTTCTGTAACCTTGTCCCTGTGCGAAACCAATGACACGCCAACCAGCATTAGTAGCCTAGAGTCAACTCTAAGTCCTTATTGGTTCTTCTCACCTAGCCCTATCCGTTTGAGTCTAGAACACAATCTTAGCCTCTACTGTATGATTATTATATTTCAGACATACATAGTTTTTATACAAGCAAACCAGACAGTATCACACCATAAATTAAAAAAATAACAACTATACAAGATCAAACTAAAAATGTATGTAAGTATGAGAGACTGTAACTAATAGATTTGGAAATAAGTTAAGAATAGTATATTGTATAATAGTAGTCAATAGGTCAAATTAAAGCTTATGATAAAAGGCATATGAATATATAAATATAATCTAATCACACTGCACAATTATTCAATAAGAACATTGAACTCATCTAAACAACCAAGTTATTATTTATTAGATTTTGTCAATAAAAATGTATCGCGTTGTTGACAAAACAACACAAAAAATAGATAAGTTTCATACTTTACTACAAACAATATCATTTCAGTTTCTCTTAATGTTTATTTACCACACACATATGCTCTGTCTGTATAATTCCTCATTTATGTTCGACAGAGCATAATTTTGTTCATCTTTCTTTTCATGTCAATCATTATTGTTATTAACTTTAAGCTTAGAAATGTTTGTTCATTTTCTAAAGTCCCTTTATCTATTTGTTTGTCTTAGATTAAATAAATTTAGGGCGTACACTCTTAATATGTATAAGTAGTCTTCAAATTGGCATTATTATTAAACTTTATTTTCGATAAATTTATATCGTTTGTCCAGTTTATTGATATTTTTTTATTGTTTGTTTGTTTCTAGTTTAGCTTATTTAAGCAGTTGTTCAGATTTACACCTTAGTATTTTAGAAAATGAATTTAAAACAATAAATTATCACCCATTGTCAATAAATGATTCTTTTACAATGATTTCAAATGCATCTATTCCTTATTCTTCGTTTGAATCAAAAAAACGTTTAACTAAATCAAGTACCATTTTATCAACTAAGGATGAATTCATTTTGGATATACCATCTTCATTGACACCATCATTTTCTAATATTGATTTAGTGGATGGTATGCAACAACAGAGTATGAACGGTTATAGTTTTCTATCGCATTGTTGGCCTAATCAACGGAATACTACTGGTTGTCGTAATCACTATAGGCAACAAGCAAATAGTTTAAAAACGTCTAAAGATCATTTAGTGAGTGTAACTTATACCGATAATAATGATAAGAAGCGGTCCACTATCACTACTCACAATAATAATAACAGTAATAATTATCATTATTATAGTGGTAAATATCAACGACCGAAATCGCTAACTATTGGAAGCAATCAAGCGAATAGATTAAATCAACAAATTATTACTGAATTACCTGACTTTTCCACATCTTGTCAGTATGATCAAGAAAGAAAAGTAAATCATCTGAATGGCCCTTTTGCTACAACTGAAGCAACTATTGACAACTGTAATAATAAACAACGTTTATCTAGTAATTCCGATTCTTCGCATTCATCATTACATTGTAATAAATGTTTACCATTATTACCTACAGAATTATTATCATCGGAACATGATAACCGATTGAAAGAATGCGGTTATCAGGTTTCCAATTTATTAAGTAGTGATGAAGAATTATCAAATAAAAATTCACCGAAACTTAGTGTTCTAGAAATGTTGAACACCATCGATTTGGACAGTTGTGGTGACATACTTCCGAAAAAAGCTACAACTATTAACTATGCTGTAAGTATTTTGCAAATAGTCATTTGTTTTCATTTCGTAAAATAACTAATTAGATCATTGCAAATCAATCATCTGTTTTCTTGCGTGTTTTTTTCTTTGTTTTACTCTATATATATTAGTTAATTATAAATTCACCTAATAACTTTTTTAGATTAACTATTACTACTCTGTATGGGGTTGTGGAGATTGTCGAGTTTTTGATTGATATCATGAATAGATCGATGTTAGACAACTATTGAAAACCTGGAAGCACTGGACGGCTGCTTCATCCTAGTATGGTACTCAGCAGTGCGCATCCACGATCTCGTGCGCGGGATTCCAACCCAGTGTTTCCAGGTTTTAAATGGTGATCTAACACCGATCCATTCATGATCTCAATCAAAAAAATATTACTACTCTATCTGGTTTTAATTATTGCCTTCATTTTGTATCGGTGTGCTCACGTATGTACATTGATGTACATTCTGTTATCATTTTCATAATGTAAATTTTTTGTTTGATGGTTGAAGCTAATTTGCTGAAAATTATAAACCTAGGTCACGTTCTACTTTGCAAATTCATCGGCAAGACATACTTCCAAGCCCGAAGTAAGGCTTGAATCTTTGTCAACATGCTTCACAGTCTAAGATATTGTTTGCACTGAATATATATAATTGCTACGATATATTTCAACTTTGCAATGTTAAATAGTTAAAGGTAATCAAATGGAAGCTCTCTGGATCTGTGTTTCAGTGTTAGACCTCGTTTGTCAACAAAGCATATCCTCAATGCTGTGAAGTAATCCATGCTTCCCTCAGCGGGACTCGAACCCTTATCACTATTACTGAGGTTAGATTTTCGCTCTCTAATTAATCGTTTATGATTAGTAGCTATTATCATGTCCTTCTGTAGTGCTTACTACCGATCAAATCATATGATACATATTTTATATTTGTGTAACATATCAATCGTTTGAAGTAGTTGACTGATGAATCATGTATAATAAATAACAAGAAGTTCATTTTTATTTCTTAATGTTTATCACGTTTATTTCTGAATAAAATAGTAAACAAAGTGAATTTTATTTAAAACGCCACAGTTTGAACATATATCTTTTAGTATGGATAATGAAATAATGTAGTCAGAACATCATTAATCGATTTCTTTCCCCATAGTTTATAAAACAAATTCATTTATTTTAATACGGTGAAATTTAATCATACACGCCTCTTAGGTTCTGAATTTCCTATCTATCTTTATCTATAATTAGTTATTGAATGACAATCCTACCCCCTATACAATATATAAAAAATTACGCAATTAGATTTACTGAGTATTCAATCTATATTATTTTTAATCAAATCTAAATGGGGTCTGACTCTAGTACATCATTATATTTACATACAAAATTTAGAAAGTAAATTAAGTCATTTTAACAGTTTACACTTAGCTAAAATGAATCTGAGTTAAAAGTTGTTTAGAAAACATGGAATCGTGAACGCATTGCGAAGGTCGTTTATACACGACCGTTTCCTGACTAATTTCAAATAAGTAAACTCCATACTTTTAGGGTCTCATCTCTGACGATGGGAACCCTTGAAGTTAGCTGAGATGTATTTTTTAAAAATTGGTTATCTCTGATCTACGGCGTCAAGGCACCTGTGCAGGATCACAAATCGTCACACAAACCATGTATTTTAGTGCTGGGGTTATAAGTTTGTACCTGATAATCCAGTTACATAGTGATCCCATTAAGTCAAAACTGTGTCTTTAATATACTATCTCTAATATTTAACATTAAGAATACTGTCATGGACATTTCTACATAATTCTTTTTTGAATTTTTCGTTTTTCTTACTGTAGACTTCTAAGAGTTGCGAACTTTCAACACATTCACTTACTAATCAAAAACGAATTAAAAAGACAAATTCTTTAACTTTTACATCTTCGTTATCATCCAAAGAACAAAATGATAATTATCGAAATACATTAAATGGTATCCATTTAGATATTAAAAAATCTCACTCACTTGTTGATATATTATCACCTGGTGTAATGGAATTTTTACGTTTTAAAGAACTTGTTAAACGACAAATTGCACCACATTTTCAAGGTTATGTTTATAGTGATTTTGTTAAACTCGCTGCACCATATCCATATTTTTCAGAAGCACCTGTATTCAGTGGTGATGTACATCTTATAATTTGTGTTCATGGTCTAGACGGTAAGTTTACAATGCTTATTGTATAAATGTAAACGTCGACTATATGGTATACGAACTAAAGTTGTATCACCGCATGTATATATTCCTTTTTATTATTGCTAATTCAGATATCTTTCGTTATAGGTTTACAAATGATTATAAATATCTGTGTTAACTAAACCTACTAGTTACTCCTTAGATTGATTTCACTGAAAAATACAATCGTTAGTTTTGAAAATGTCATTCGTTATTGCTTAATTCATTGCTTAGTTTACCCGACCGTTGTTGCTACCTTGACTTGGTGGTCGGGCTTGCCTATCGTGATAAAGCAACCGAGCTATACTGGCTGAAACAACTGTTCTTCAAGGTCCTACTATGTCAGACAGGTCGGTTGAAGAGCGGTAAGACTAAAAGCAACAAACCCAAGGTCCGAAGGCGAAGTCGTACTGCTGACTGTACAGAGGTGTGACAGCAGTAAGGTATCTCCTTCAGACAACCAGCATGACAGCGATGCTGCCTTCCCACAAGGAGGGGTGGGGTTAGAAGCGGTCGACCCTAAAAATGCACACCTCCCCTTATCCCACGGATATCCGTCTCCGGAGGTAAGGTCCTAAAAAGTACGGAGCTAACACAACAATTACCCATAAAAAGGTCGTGTGTGACCGACCTCAAGCAGTTGTCCCTTGGGCACTGCTGTCACGCTCCCAGGTCACTAAGACCACCTCTAATCCAGTTTCCTTTTCAGGTACCTCCAGAAGAACCCTTCCACGGTGTGCGCAACCGGGGAGTGATAACCGCCCTCATACCTCTAAACAGCATTCAAGAACACTGTATTCCTAATCAACCTCCGTCTTCACTTCCTATTACTCCTCCTACATCGACTTTCACCTCTAAACTTCCTTTTTCGGCTTCCTCCTCAAATGGCACGATAGCCAACGATTCTAGTGCTCAAAACACTGTCCCAGGTCTACTGAAACCTCGCTCCAAACTACACATTGGAACCTTCAACGTACGCACTCTATGTCAAATCGGTCAACAGACTTCCCTGGCTAGAACCATAGAATCTCGTACCATTGATGTATGCTGTGTCTCTGAAACACACATAGAGGATCCCAGTGTGGTCATTCACTTGACCTCACCTCGGCAAAACGGAGAGCCAACGAGATACACCCTCCGTGTATCTGGTGACCCAATGGCCAGCTCTCGTGGACTGGCAGGAGTAGGGATAGCACTAAGCATGAGGCGGAACAAGCACTGTTAGAGTGGATCCCCGTTAACAGTCTTTTATGTACTGTTCGGCTGAACGGCTACGTAAGAACTCGGATGGATAGGGATACACGTCGTTCCTTTTCGTCGTTTCTGCCTACGCTCCCACTGACTGCAGCTCAGATGAAGTGAAAGATGAATTTTACAGAAAGCTGTCCGAACTTCTTCAAAAAGCTAAACGTTCAGACATAGTACTCGTGCGGGGTGACTTTAATGCTCAGATAGGTAGTTTAAACCAAACAGAAAGGCATTTAGGTGGGTATTTTAGTATTCCGGCACAACGAACAGATAATGGTGATCGTCTGCTGCAACTGTGCTCAGACAATCGTTTATTTTTAGCAAACACAAATTTTAAGCATGAGGAGAGACATCGTCTAACATGGCGACCCCCTACACCAAACCAACGATGAACTCAAATAGACCATATTGCCATCAGTCATCGTTGGAGAGGGTTGGTAGAAGATTGTCGCTCATTCTGGAGTATCTGCTTGGACTCCGACCATTACCTAATACAGGCACGCATCTGCTTGCGCCTCACTGGACGCAAAAAAAGCCACAATGAAAAGACGCATTAGAACTGAATTGAGTAGCGAGAAAACCAAAAGTAGGTTCCAGGAACAATTGAGGTCACAATTAGTTAGTTCTGGAAACGAGGTTGACCTAGATGTTGCTTGGACAGCTATACAATCAGCTGTGGAAACAGCAGTGACATCTATTAGTGACTTAAACGACAGGGTTACAAAGAACCAGTGGATTTCTTCAAGGTCTATCACACTGATGGATTCTCGTGAACTCATCCCATCAGGTTCTGAACACAATGAAGAGCGTAAACAAATCAGATCTAGGTTAATCAAAAGTCTAAGGAACGACCGTGAGTAGTGGTGGGCAACGAAAGCAAAAGAGATGGAAAGGCGGCGGCTATAGGGAACACAAGACATCTTTACAGACTAATAAAAGGGACTGGAATTAATAAGTCAAGTGTAAGTGAGACTATTTCGGAAAAAGACGACACCCTCATCTTCTCTCAGTCCAGACGTCTAGAACGATGGGCGGAACATTTCAGAGAACAGTTCAGCTGGCCTTCAACTACAACTACCCTCCATTCCCAGACAGTGTGAATGTAACATTGAGGTAGGCCCCCCAACTCTAGCAGAAGTTCAAAAGGCTATAGTTAATCTGAAACGAGAAAGGGCAGCTGGTCCATATGGATTGGCTCCAGAAGTCTTTAAGGATGGTGGTCCAATTTTAGCGATAAGGTTGACTAATATTTTAGCTAAGATCTGGGAGTCAGACGTTATTCCATCTGACTGGTCACAATCACTTATCGTCCCAATATATAAGAAAGGGTCAAAATCATCCTGTGACAACCACAGAGGGATTAGTTTAACAAATATAGTATTTAAAATACTAGCCTCGATAATTATCAGACGCCTTACTAAGACTCGTGAACTACAAACACGAGAGAACCAAGCTGGCTTCAAACCTAGTCGTGGCTGCATCGACCACATATTTACCATTCGTCAGGTTCTAGAACACAGGCATACTTATCGACGTCCGACAAAGGTGGTCTTTCTTGACTTAAAAGCAGCATTTGACTCAGTAGACCGCGAGATTCTGTGGTATTGTCCGTCATTGAAAGGCGTACCTCAGAAGTACATAAACTTTGTGAAGGCTCTTTACTCCAACACTACCAATCGAGTCAGGGCTTATGGCGAACTGTCATCTACTTTTGCGACCTCAAGTGGTGTCCGTCAAGGCTGTCCACTTTCTCCATTTTTATTTAACTTCATCATAGACCTACTGATGGAAATAACGCTCTCGTCGATTGAATTTTCAGGCATTGATCTCCTACCAGGAGGTCCACTTATCGACTCAGAATACGCAGATGATATAGTCCTATTTGGTGAGGACGCTGATAAAATGCAGAGTCTTCTGGTAGCACTAAGCAACAATGCCAGGATGTTTGGAATGCGCTTCTCTCCCTCTAAATGCAAGTTGTTGCTTCAGGACTGGTCTGCGTCAACACCTGAACTAAGGATAGGGAGTGAAGTAGTCGAACGCGTTGACAACTTCACTTATCTTGGAAGTCTGATCAGCCCTAATTGGTTGGTATCGGACGAAATCTCAGCACGGATTCGAAAAGCTCGTTTGGCTTTTGCCAACTTGCGTCACCTATGGCGAAGGCGAGATATCCGTCTATCAATAAAAGGAAGAGTATACTGCGCGGCAGTCCGTTCTATTTTAATTTACGGCAGCGAAACATGGCCATTAAGAGTAGAAGACACTCGTAAGCTATTAGTATTTGACCACAGATGCCTTAGAAATATTGCTGGTATCTGCTGGGATCACCGGGTAAGTAATAGTGAGGTTAGACGTAGGGTATTAGGGAATGATGGTAAATCAGTTGATGAGGTTGTGAATCTTCATCGACTGAGATGGTTGGGTCACGTGTTGCGTATGCCTGAACACCGATTATCACGACGTGCAATGCTATCCGGTATTAGAAATGGTTGGAAGAAAGTTAGGGGCGGCCAAACCAAAACGTGGCATCAGTGCTTGAAGTCACTAACTTCTAGTCTGAGTCATGTTGGTAGATGCAGACTACTTGGTTGGGGTCCGTGTGACTATCGTAACCAATGGTTGGAGACTCTTGGTGACATGGCTCAGAATCGATCACAATGGCGTCGGTGTATACACTCCCTGTCTTCCCTTAAACTAAGAGATTAAAATCACTTCTTATCTTTCTTTCTACTGACTAATTCTTTCTTCTTGTACTATATCTCTATATGCAATCTTTCTCTTATATATTACCACCTTTGACCTAACCACTCCTATAAATCCAGTGTTCATCTTGCTGTGCTGATGCGGTATGGCAACCTGGACCGATGCACATATGTGCCTGGTCCTACGTTGTAGCTGACTGACTAACTGACTAGTTTACTGTTAACAAAATATCAGATTTGGTTAAACCAATTATCTGTTAATAAACGTTAATAGAATAGTTTTAATAATTCGTCCATGAAAACTACTTCGTAGCCGCTTGATGAACTACAGAAAAATTCAATTCAGTCTTCAATTTACTTCATTTATGTACTGAATTCACAGTGACTTGTTTTATACACTTGCACCGTTCAATACTTATGGACAACTTTAAGCTATTAATACGTAACAAGTACGAAAAGATTGATTCCCTATGCTTGACAACGGTTGGCCCAATTCTAACTAGCTCGGAATGAAGAGGACAAACACAAGATCAATGATCACGAGTTCAAGATCGTTTTCGTATTTCAGGCACATGCAGTTTATGTACAAACAGATCAGACCACATCACACCACAAAATGAAAAATATTAATTATACAAGATCAAGCCAAAAGGTGACTGAGTTATAAAACTGCCAACAGATTAAAAATAAGTCATACAACAAAAACTAATAAGTTAATCGAACGTGTATGATAAAAGGTATATATATCGGTATAGCATAGTTTTGATAATGAACCCGTTTTGATGGATTCTTGATTTAAATTAATTGTTTTATAGAAAATAATGTTTAGTGTCACAAATGCTTGTCTCTTTTTTCTTGCTTATCAGGTAACTCATGTGATTTGCGTCTTGTACGCGTTTATCTTCAACTAGCTTTACCAGATTGTAACTTACATTTCCTTATGTCAGAGTGTAATCAAGACGATACATTCGGTGGTTTCGATATGATGAGTGAGAAATTAGTTAATGAAATTGTAAATTATATCGATGAAATGGATGAAAAACCAAAACGAATTAGGTAAACACTTCTTATTTTGTTTAGTTTACATTCTCAATATTTTCTGTCGAAGAATGAACAATTGAACAACCTCTATTTAATATGTTCAATGTCTTTATTCAAATGATTCCATAGTTGAATATCAGTTCGACTCGATCCGTGAATGAGCCATGGGTGGATAATACTGATGATGAAACAGTTTTCCAATCCTCTCTTGTTTTCATTGGCTTGCTGGCTAGTGTAAATCGTAATAAGGACTATTCATAATTAGTTGCTTCTTAACTTACCAGTAAAAATATTGTTCAGTTGAAGGTGTTTTACGAAGTATGGTTTAATGTTGTATTCGTTACAGATCTATCTCAGTTAGGGTGCCAATGAAAATCATAGGGAAATCAGACAGCCATTTTGTTTCAGTGTGAATCCCTCATCACTGCGAAGCTAAACTCCCACCACAAAACTTGAAGTACATTATAGTTTAGGTATATATATATATATATATATATATATATATATATATATATATATATATATATATATCCCTCGAAAATAACTGTTTATCTTTGATAAACAATGCAAGAATAAAAATATTTACACAATAGGTTTTCAATCTTGTATTTGTCTTTGACACTTTGTAGATATACTCAAACTACTAATCGAAGTCTTTATGTATTTCATCTTCCATCAAACATTTGCTCAGTATGTCGACAATGGAATCGGTATTTTGTTTTTATGTAGCTCCTGGGTGTGCTTAGTGACAGCATTCTAATCAACGTTGTTTAGTTTATGAATCAGCGCGCTGAACATAGCTTATATTTCAAGGTTACTCGATTTGCGAAAATTATCTTTATGCATTCACTAATTTTCTTATTCTTACGTTTTTTACTCATTCTTGCTTTATTGTTTTTTTTCTTTATTACAGTTTTATTGGACATAGTATGGGTTGTATTATAATACGTGCAGCATTGTTGAATTCACGAATGGAACCATATTTATCTAAATTGCACACATTTCTGTCTTTAAGTGGTCCGCATTTAGGCACAGTATACAATTCATCTGGTCTCATTAATATGGGCATATGGGTTATGCAAAAAATTAAAAAATCTGAAAGTCTTTCACAATTAAGACTGAGAGATGATCCAGATTTACGTAATACGTATTTATATCGTTTAAGTACTAATCCTGGCTTGGACCTATTTCGTTATGTTCTGTTGGTTGGAAGTCCACAAGATCGTTATGTACCGTATCATTCAACACGAATTGAATTGTGTAAAGCTGCAATTAAAGATTCTTCTACTCTTGGTTAGTTTTATTTAAGTGTGTGTATTTTTCTGTTTACCGCCTTTGATATCCATACAAATGTCGTCAAGTGTTTGCTCCTTGTTTTTTGTAAACAAGAGAGTGACTGTTTCGAACTTTACTGTCCTTCTTAAGTTTGTAGCCTCAATCGCCATTCTGTAGGAGTACAAGTTTTCTTAGTTGTAACCTGGAAACATTCACGTAAAAGATTTACATTTTATATTAAATGAGAAACTAGTAAATATATGACATTAATTAGGTCATCTTTGATAATCACGACTTGCACCCTTAATTATTGTTAAACGCTGGGAATCATAATTCAACATTACTATTTGATTATGGCTGGATTTTGAATGAATAACTTTTGAGTCACCGCATTCAGTAGATTTTTTGGAGGGAACAAACAGAAAGATTTGTATCATAGCCTCCAGGTTAGTATGACACCCATTGGTAAGGCCTAGTTTCAGTTCGAAATTCTGGCTTTGATGATGATTCACTAGAGTAGCATTTACAGCACTGTTAGTTGAAATTGATATTACATCATGCTTTCTTACCAAAATTAATCTATTATTCTTCTATAAACATCAGTAATTGACCATGACTTCCACATAATATTTATCCGTAAGATGGGAAGTGCAGAAAGCATCAGCTTTAATTAACTCATTCATAATCGTCTTTCACGAGGCCTTCCTTACAATGTTAACTGGTTGGAGACAATCAACTAAAAACCCAACACCTGGTCTTTGTGCTAGTTGGTACCCTTCAGTAGTGTGTATCGATATTCCTCAGGGAGTTTGTGTTTCCATAAAATTCAAGCCTTCATCATCATTCTTGTATATATTCAACATTGTTACTTCCTAGTGAAACTATTGCCTTTTAATTATTATCTGTTCTCCTAGATACTATTGAAGTAAAAAAGATAACATATAACTGACTCATGATTTCAATCTGTGAAAGTATAAAGTTAACTTGATGAAATTGTATTTGCTGTGGAAAATGTAGTTTTTCAACTTGACTTTGATGAATTTCAACATATACAAATAATTAGAACTAGTATTCATATTGTAAATATTGTAAATACAAGTTAGAATGTACTGTATTTAGTTATTTATTATTTCTGTATTCACATCCAGGTATCGATGTAAATAAACATAAACTTTTATTACTATAGTTATTATTACTCTTTTTCATCATTATTGGATCAACTCTAATTAAACTTGAGTGTGACGGAGAAGATTTGCGGCTCAGTTAGATTCTTGTGATGCTGTTGATTTCTTGGAGCCAGATGGTTTTATTGCGTAGCCTTCATTATCGTTCCAGTGAACATCATCAGCTTTTACGTCAAGTATATGTGGACTGCTTATTTTTTCAGCGAGTCTTGAATCAGTTTGTACTGATGGCCTTCTTTGTGATCAATTACTTTCAAAGTTTTACTTGTCTTTATTTGTCCTACCAGGAGGTCCACTTATCGACTCAGAATACGCAGATGACATAGTCCTGTTTGGTGAAGACGCTGACAAAATGCAGAGTCTTCTGGTAGCACTGAGCAACAATGCCAGGATGTTTGGAATGCGCTTCTCTCCCTCTAAATGCAAGTTGTTGCTTCAGGACTGGTCTGCGTCAACACCTGAACTAAGGATAGGGAGTGAAGTAGTCGAACGCGTTGACAACTTCACTTATCTTGGAAGTCTGATCAGCCCTAATTGGTTGGTATCGGACGAAATCTCAGCACGGATTCGAAAAGCTCGTTTGGCTTTTGCCAACTTGCGTCACCTATGGCGAAGGCGAGATATCCGTCTATCAATAAAAGGAAGAGTATACTGCGCGGCAGTCCGTTCTATTTTAATTTACGGCAGCGAAACATGGCCATTAAGAGTAGAAGACACTCGTAAGCTATTAGTATTTGACCACAGATGCCTTAGAAATATTGCTGGTATCTGCTGGGATCACCGGGTAAGTAATAGTGAGGTTAGACGTAGGGTATTAGGGAATGATGGTAAATCAGTTGATGAGGTTGTGAATCTTCATCGACTGAGATGGTTGGGTCACGTGTTGCGTATGCCTGAACACCGATTATCACGACGTGCAATGCTATCCGGTATTAGAAATGGTTGGAAGAAAGTTAGGGGCGGCCAAACCAAAACGTGGCATCAGTGCTTGAAGTCACTAACTTCTAGTCTGAGTCATGTTGGTAGATGCAGACTACTTGGTTGGGGTCCGTGTGACTATCGTAACCAATGGTTGGAGACTCTTGGTGACATGGCTCAGAATCGATCACAATGGCGTCGGTGTATACACTCCCTGTCTTCCCTTAAACTAAGAGATTAAAATCACTTCTTATCTTTCTTTCTACTGACTAATTCTTTCTTCTTGTACTATATCTCTATATGCAATCTTTCTCTTATATATTACCACCTTTGACCTAACCACTCCTATAAATCCAGTGTTCATCTTGCTGTGCTGATGCGGTATGGCAACCTGGACCGATGCACATATGTGCCTGGTCCTACGTTGTAGCTGACTGACTGACTGACCTCTTATTTACGTTGGGTTTCTCTGTCAGTTGACCTCCAACCAGACTGTGGATTGATATCTTTCATATAGTTTGATAGATCGGTTGTAACTCAATGAGTCTATTGATTTCTGAATAATCTGAACATCATAATTTCATAATTCCTTTTACATTGTTAGAATTCCGTCTCCTCAGTTAAATATATACTTGACGTTATCTAAATGCATTTATATCAGTGTTGATATACCGTGTTTTTCCGAAGAAAGTTTTTTTTAATACATTGGCGAACACGGCGTTCGTTTTGTCCAATTTAACATTTTTATCAGTTGGTGTAATTTATTTTGTAGATGATATTGCACTTGTCTTTTGTTATTATGTCTTTTGGTGTGCATAAAATAAAGTGGAATAAATGCTTAATTACTGAGTTATTTTTCATAGGTGATAAGATTATCCGCTTCTTCGTTTCTGAGGTTGATTTAAATGTGGTGGGTCATTTCAACAAACACTTTTTGATTAGCTTTCTGGGATATCCGCCTCTACAAAAAAAGCTGATTGAAGATAAGTTCATTCACTTTTTTCGCGTAGTAACAATGCTAAAATGCATTTTAGTACTTGAAAATAATGTCTGAACACAATTCTTCTTGTGTATTGTTTAGCGCTGATGAGTTTTTCCAGAATGACAATTAAAGCTCTGCCATTAAACCATCTAGTTTAGAAAACTCAAAAGCATCTTTAAATCTTTTGTGTATTGGGCATTCGAAAATTCCGAAAAAGCGATTTCGTTTTTTTTCGTATTAGTAATTATATATAACAGAACTAGTTGTTTGATATTCATACCTTTAGGGATCTAGTTCAATCCAAAAAGTTATTTTTTGTTGATCTTAACTATCTTGTTGTAAATCCAAGCAACCTGGTTGCCATTCGAAAGATAGACACGATCAATTGTTTGGTGAGTTTAGGTAACATGACGCAGAGTCAGTCACTGTGTGGTGTATATGCGTTCTCTATCCGCCAGTTTTCCTGCACACATATCTTTCCATTTCTTTTTTTCTACATTTTCAACATCTAATTCTGCTCATTATGCTACTTTAGCTATTTTGACTCATTTTGTAAAATCTCACCTCATCGCGGTAATATAGCATGCAATTTATGCCAACCCGTATTTGTGTCAAGCTGATTAACTGGCTGAGTTACAAACTAATTATCTATAAATACACTGTACAACATATCAAATTAATTAGTTTGTAACTATTAAAAACTTAGTTTATAACACGTGCTTAAGTGATTGATTTGTGATGGATGCACTATATCGTGGATTCGTTGAAGTTAATCATTCACACCATTGGATGCCGGCTCAGTAGTCTAGAGGTTAGGCGTTCGTGCGCGAGACCGAAAGTCCTGTTCGGGATCGTGGATGCGTAATGTCGAAGAGTCCCACAATAGGACGAAACGGCCGTCCAGTGCTTCCAGGTTTTCAATGGTGATCTGGCATTGGTCGATTCATGGATTCAACTGTGTAAATACTATGATCTCCACAAATTCCCATACTAACTGTTATTGACTCATACATTTTTTGTTTGATTTTATCAAATTCTAACATTTTGCTGTATTTTATGTCAATAATTCAGTAATATTTCTTACATATTTTATTCATGAATGTGACAGGAATTATTTATATGGAAATGGTTACAAATTTATTACAACGTTTTATCCAATCAACCCGTACCACTGTAGTACGTTATGATGTACATTATAATTTAACAAATTCAGCAAATACACTTATTGGACGTGCTGCTCATATCGCTGTGTTAGATTCTGAAATATTTTTAGAGAAATTTATTTGTGTTTCGGGTGCTAAATATTTCCGGTGATTATAATTAAGTGTACTTGAAAATGATATGATTTGCCGCTTGCTATGTTGTTATTATTATTGTCTACATTGAAAAAGAATGATAATAGTATGCAATTCAACTTGATTACTGTTTACAAAGTTATGTAAGTCGTCCATTTTGAATAATGTCGTACATGTGCATTACGAACTAACCGGTTTTGTGCTTTGTGATGAATATATATATATACTGAGTATTGTTAAATTACCTCCAATGAAATGAATTACTATATCTAATCTATCAATTTAAGTTTTTAACTCTCCCCCCCATTCTATCATACTAATCTGATAATTAATTTTGTATCATTAGGGGGGGTTAAGAAGACCATAGTATTTTTACGGCTGAATTCACGAGTCGACCTAAGCCAAACCGCACTGGACGGCCGTTTCGTCGTAGTATGGGTCTCCTCAACAGTGAGCATCCACAATCCCACACATGGAACTCAAACACAGGACCTTCGGTCTCTCGCGCATACACTTAACCTCTAGACCACTGACCCGGCATCCAACGGTGTTGATGTATAACTTCAATCAGTCACTTTTTTTCTAGTGTATAATAATTATTCATCGATTTAAGCAATGAGACGGTTGGAGTTAAGACACTTACTGATCAACAAATGGCGATATAAGATGTTCAGCTGTATTCAACTATAAACAATTATGAAATGATAGTATAATAGCATCTACCTATAAGGGTAATTAATCACAATACAAACATCCATTTGAATGTTTCAAGTTTTCCGTTCAAAATATAGAAAATATGTCCATAACTATTTACTTTAATAGTGAAATGATCCACAATGAAACATTCAATTTATCGGTAGCAGACAGAAACTAAAATCCAAAATGTGAATGTCAACTCAATTACCCTTTAAAGGATGATATGATTATCATTATGATTGGATGACTTAGGCAAGATAGATTATCTAAGTGCCCTGTTAATTGTCATCTGATTGTCACTATCTTCTTATGTGATTCCTACTATGTTGAAATTATATAAGGCTTATAACTGTTATCGATTATTGTTTGTCCTTATATTTCATAAAATGACAAAAGTCTATAAATATGTGAAATTGTATTATTATTATTATTATTATTATTATTATTATTATTATTATTATTATTATTATTATTACATCCGAACGAAGAATAAATGAATGGTAACTGCTAGGAATTATTTATGGACTATTATTATATATATATTGCTATTGGATAACTTTTAAGTAACCAGATTATATATATATTCGTATTCCTTTTATCATAAGCTTTCATTTGACCAATCGGCTACTGTTATACGATTTACCATTCTTAACTTATTCCCAATCTGTCAGTTACAGTCTCGTGTACTGATCTATCAAGAAATATATCGAGTTCAATTAAACTTTTTTGTATGATAACTTCTTTTTTTACTGATTAGTTAGTTGGTAGTCTTTTAAATTGTAAATCATCTTATCATTTCAACTGTTGCTAATGACAACTGATTTCTGACTAGTAACTTACAGCTGTTAAACAATTTCCACTATTTTTTTTCTTTTGATTTATATTATTGTAGATATACATGTGTCCGGTTATACTCTGTTGTTTGGTAATTAAATGCAATATCTGTTCAAACTACTCGATTAAAAAAAGAACTCTTAATTAACAAGAAGATACGTGAAGGGAATACGCAAAAGTCTATCGCATTTACATTTTTTTTACAGTAGATTCTATGTATATATTTGTGTGTTGTAAACTTGTACTCACTAATAAATTACATCCGAACAAGCATATCAACTAGTGACATTGGGTTTTTTTCAATTTACTCATTATTTAATTATTTCACTCCCCTCCTACTTTTTATTGTTTTCTGATAATAGAATTCCATAATTTCAGTAGTTTACTCAGCGTACTTATTCTATTTTGTTTTGTTCCAACGCATAGGAGGATTAATAATATGTATGTTTCCTAAATACTACTGAAATATATATTGCTTGTAAAGCGATAAAAATAATAGAAATAATAGTATTGAGAGAAACAGTGAACTATACGTTCTTCTTTGTCGTACAGTCTTTTTCTTTGTATTGATGATTACGTATAGTTTTTTTTAATAATCATATGCAATATTCCAAGTCTTTTATTTGCTTTCCTCTACACAATCATACATATTAATAAATAATTCAGGATATAGGAACCTTCATTTGCTGTATTGTGTGTGCAAGTACAACAACGCATACTCATTGTGATCAGTTATTTTTCTCAACTTTGTTATTTTGTTTTTTTCCCTGCATATTTTGTTCATTGTTTGTACTTCTTTTGTTTTCATACTGACAATCGCGTGTTGTTTTGTTTCTTTACATCTTTTTCGACTGCCATGTTTTACATCTTTATGATTAATAACACACGATGAGGTAACAATGACGAACAATATGTGTTTGTTCTTAAAACGTTCTAGAAAGCAAAATCAAAAATACAATGGTATGATAACCAACAATGTCACCGTTAATTCATGATATATTCATCAATATTGTATCATATACTGATTTGTTTATTCCTTTTTTTAATTTTTTATTGCTATCATTATTGTCGAAAAGAATGATGCGACTTTTTTGTATTATTTTTCTGCTCCCTGAATGCTAATCTGATTATTGCATTTCTATAGGTCTACTTTGCAGCAACAACAACACTGCCTTCTCTCATCTCTGCATAGTCTAGACTTTTAACTACACTCACAATGTGACAAACTTTTTTCAATTGGTACAAAACTTGTATTGTTATTTAAAAATCAAACATGAAATATCGTTAACACTACAGTTATTATTCTCTTAGCTACTTTTATTACTAAGTGTTTTAAACAAATATTCAAATTACTACTTGAATAAATCCTCAATGTTTTTCTTTTGTGCCTTATGATGGTAATGTAATGGATAATTCCAGTTGAGAAAGTTTTATATTATCTGGAACACATATTCCTTTAGTTTCTACCATACCAGGCAGGTCGGTTGGAGAACAGTAAGACTGCAAGGAGGAACTTGAGATCTGAGCGCGAAATCGTCCGGCTGACTATAAGAGAGATGTGAAAGCAATTAGGCTTTTTCTCCAGAAAATCATCATCTGCAGCGATGCCACCTCACAACGGAAGGAGTTAGACAAGGTCGATCCTAAAAATCCCACACCTTACCCCACGGATCTCTGGTGGTAAGGTCTTTTGAAATTTGGAGATAACACATTCAAAACTTCCTAGAAAAAGGCAGTTGACGTATTCAGTTGCCTTTTCGTTGTCTGTACCTACGCTCTCGCTAATTGCAGCTCAGATGAAGTTAAAGATGAGTTTTATATTAAACTATCCAATCTCCAAAATGTCCAATGCTCTGTTATAGTAATAGTGGTAGGCGATTTTAATGCTCAAGTAGGTAGGTTAAATCAATACGCAATGTATTTAGACTGATCTTACGATTTTGCAGCTCAGCGAACAGATAATGATGACCGTCTTTTGCAACTTCGCTTAGATAAACATATGAAGAAACATAGTCTAATATGGTTATCTCCACAATCAACTCATTGATGGACTCAAATAAACCACTTTGCTATCAGCCATAGTTGGAGAGGCTCGACTGAAGACTGCTGCTCATTCTGAAGCACATGTTTGGACTCGAATCATGCTCTAGTACGAGCATGTGTCTTGCTGGGCGTAGAAAAGCCGCAGGAAGTAAACCATTTAAAGTCCGACTTTATAATGAAAAAGTTAGGAATATATTTCAGAAACAACTTAGAATGAGCTAGTCAACCATACATGTGATGCCCATAGTGAGGTAGCTTGGTATAATATCCAAAAAGCTAATGAGAACAGCAGTGATATCTACTAGCTACTTAAACTGAATGGTTAAGAAAAATGTGGATTTCAGCAACGCTTACACAACTAATGGCACTCAAAAACTCATCCCATCTTGCTCCGAACACGATGAGGAGCGCAGGCATCTTAAACATAATATGTTAAAGAGACTACTCAGTCATCATGTGCCGTGGTAGGTAGCGAAAGCAAGACAGAAGGAAAAGGCAATAGTGATAAGTGATAGTAGACAACTGTTCTATTCATAGCCGCATAAAATGATCTTCCAAAATAGCACCTTTTCTTGTGCATTATTATTACATTTTCATATCAGGTTTTTTATAGATATAATAGTAATTTCAATGGTTGAGCTTCAATTGACTCATGATCTCGACGCCTAATCAAAGCTCGTGAAGAGCAGATTAGAGAAAACCAGGCCGGTTTTCGACCTGGACGTGGTCGTATAGATCAGATATTCACACTACGTCAGGTTCTAGAACACAGACACACATTCAGACGCCCCACAATGGTAGTATTTCTCGACCTTAAGGCGGCATTCGACTCTGTTGATCGTGAGGTTCTGTGACAGTGTTTGTCACTGTAAGGAGTACCAAAGAAGTACGTTAACCTTGTAAAGGCTCTCTACTCGAACACAACTGGTCGAGTGAGAGCTTATGGCGAACTGTTAACGGAATTGATTACCTCAAGTGGTGTTCGTCAGGGCTGTCCACTCTCTCCATTCTTATTCAACTTTGTGGTCGACGTACTTTTAGAGATAACACTCTCCTCATCTAAATTTCCAGGGGTTGAACTTCTACCAGGAGGTTTACTTGTTGACTTAGAATATGCAGATGACATAGTTTTATTTGGTGAAGACGCTGACAAAATGCAGAGTCTTCTGACCACTCTAAGCAACAATGCAAGCATGTTCGGGATGCGATTCTCCCCTCGAAATGCAAAATGTTGCTTCAGGATTGGGTTACATCGACACCCGAACTAGTGATAAGGAGTGAAGTAGTTGAACGTGTCGACCGCTTCACTTATCTTGGCAGTCTCATCAGCCCTTGTGGTCTGGTTTGTGACGAAATCTCAGCACGGATACAGAAGGCTCGACTAGCTCTTGCCAACTTGCGTCATTTATGGCGTAGGCGAGATATCTGTCTATCAACCAAAGGACAGGGTTACTGCGCAGCAGTTCGTCCCATCCCACTTAGTGGCAGTGAAACATGAGCAGTAAGAGTAGAAGACATTCGTAGGTTACTATTATTTGATCATAGGTGTCTTCGAAACATTGCTCGTATATCCTGGGACCATCGAGTAAGTAACACAGTTGTTAGGAAACGGGTACTAGGTAAGGATAGCAAATCAATTGATGAAGTAGTGAAAGTTCATCAGTTGAGGTGGCTGGGACACGTGTTACGTATGTCCAACGACCGACTGCCTCGACGTGCTATGTTCAGTGGTATAGGAGTAGGTTGGAAGAAAGCTAGGGGCGGCCAAACCAAAACATGGCACAAGTCCATGAAGTCACTGACAAGTGGACTGAGTCATGTTGGTAGGTGCAGACTACCTGGTTGGGGACCGCGAGATGATAGCAACCGATGGTTAGAGACCCTGAATGACATGGCTCAAAATCGTTTGCAATGGCGCAGGTGCATCCACTCTCTGTGTTCTCCCAAATTCTAATCTTCTGAATTCTTCATGTCCCTTTTTTCCTCTTTCCAAATTTATTTCACTGGATTATACTCCTTGAATAACATCTCCAAACCCTAATCTTCCCGATTACTGCTTATACTCTTATTACCTCTACCACTACGGGATTTGAATCGACAACTGCATCTCTGTGCTTATGTGGTGTGGCAACTCGAACTGATGTACGTACGTACGAAGTTCTACGTTGTTACTGACTGACTGACTGACTGACTGACTGACTGATCTCAACCATTGATATTACATTTTCATCGAAATTAACAAGTGTGTTGTCGATAATCAACATGTTCTTTTGAACTATGAAGCATAATACCACATTTTTTCGTCCATTCACTTTGGTCTGACCTTTTAGTTATATATTAATCTGTTTCTCTATTTACGTTAAGTAATTTTAAGACTTCTTATGCATGAACATCACCCTAGGTAGGCCTACATTTTGGATTAGTTAATAGCTTGATATTTGAAACACGTTTGCATACCGTTCTTAAAATACCAGTCTCTATTCAATACATATTAATGTTGTGGATGCGGAGGAATAAACCAATAATTATCATGTTAAGTCCAATGGTGTCCTTGGACTTTAAATGGACATTTCCTATTGGTCGATATCTGTTCACTTGTTGAATATTGTACAAAATGTTGTTTTCTATTTTATGGTACGATTTGGTATGCTTGATTGGTATATAAACAAAGTATGTTTGAAATATAATGATTCATATATCCGAGGCTGTGACTTGTGTTATGGACTCAACTGACTGAGCTAGACAGAGAAGCGAGACCAATAGAGACTCTAGGCCGTCCGTACGTGTTTACGTGTCATTGGATCGATCGATAAATTCGCTGCTCTCTAATTTTTCCAGTCAAGGACACAACAATTAGCACAGGGTAAAAATCGACCGCAATTTAAAGTCATAACAATTAACATCTTTTAAACATTCATTATTTTCATGAGACTGTTACTTAACACCATCTTCAATTATTTTGTTCCTTCTGTCTCTATTTAGTTAGCCAAAAATTAGTTATCACGTTTTTACAAGTCGGATGTGTTCTTTTTTTCTGTGAAAATGAATTCTGAATTAAATTAACAGACTAGATTTTCACATAAAATAATTTTGACCAAGCATGATTTTTATTACGGGAATTAAATTAGTTCACCTAATATTAGACAGAATCGAATATATGTTAGTCCGTGTTCTGAAGTATCTTTCTACTATGTATTTATATAATATACATTTTGTAAACAATGGTCTTTAAATTAAAACACAATTCCATAGTCTTACATCCTTTTACCTATAATTAAGAGTATGTAGTATTACATAATATAGGTCGCTATTATAGAGTGTTATAGTAATTGTTTAGTTTGAAGTCTCACATCACGGATTGGTTCTGATTAAACAGCCATTAAGAGTCAAGAATCACTGCACAGCTATTTCCGTTTAGTACTAGACTCATCAGCGCGAATTCATTACGAAATATCAAACCCAGGACCATTAGGCTTCATAGTAAGCGTTGTATTGGCGTCCAGTGATTTAAATTTCTAAATTTAATTAGCTCTTTTCCTGGCTTTGAAAGGCTTTTTAATTAAAGTCACTTCATGACGTGAAACTCAAATATATACATGTGTAGTTGAGAAAGAAATATCACCTTTGTATTCTACTGACTGCATAAATTAGCACACATTTACACGCACAAAGTAACCATGATACGTATATAATTATGGAAAACATAGTTTCTAATGTTTAACAATGAGCTTGTGAAATAACTTTACTAATTTAGTTACATGCATTTAGTTATCCATTTTTCCAAAGTAACCATCAACACTTCATGTATTTTATAAGAATACTTTGATTGACCTAATTAGGGATCCACCCAAATATACAGCCCTTATCATTCAACGATCTATAATTAATTAAGGTAGTAATTCTTTTGTATACACTCACGAAAAGTGAATTCGAATAATGGTTTCATTCAAAATTGGCTATTATCTTCAATAAGTATTAGTTTTAAAAAAGTTGTTTTAATATTGTTTTTTGATATTATTCCCTTATCCTTGATTATTAATCTTTTTACTATACTGAAATTAGGACCTTCATATTAAGTTGATAGAATACCAGTTTGATTTATTCTTATCCCAAATGAATGAAATGAGGAAACCTTATCAAGGAGTGGTGAAAGGCTAAGCGATTTTAGAGAGATCGCATGTTATCTCAAGGCCCCATGAAAGTGAGATATGATAGAGTGACTAGCCTATCATAAGTATTTGAATCGTCAACCTAACCAAGGTCATCACTACATATTTTTATCAGGATTACTCTAGTATTATATACATAATATATATTTTCATCGATAATCTATATCTTGTATATAATATTGATGCGAACAGAGAAATAAAGAAGAACAACGGAAGCTATTTTTGGGAATATTATCTCATTTGAAAGCATGTAAAATAATAACATTTAGTTTTGTCCCTGGTTGTTTTTATAAACGTTGCCATACCCTTTTCTATTCCAAAGTTATTGTAATCTAAACATAACTTTTTGTGCTTCATCTTACTACCCTAATGCTTAGTTGAGAAACAACTGTATTTTCCTAAATGTTTGTACGTTTTGGTCGTGTCAGTAATCTATATATTCACATATCTTTTTAAATAAGTCTCAATCGGAAATCAGAACTCAGTCAAGCAGTGTTACTAGTTGACTCATCTCTCTCGCTTGTCAGCCAATCGGGTGGTCAAATAGTTTTTATCTCTCGGTCCAAAGCTGTTAGTCACAATTCGGACTCATGCGTTTCTAGCCTCGTGGTTGAACCAGTTAGCCTATCGTGTCAAATATTGAGACAAGTACTCTTCTGCATATTATTGGGTAGAAAGATCAAGGATGTAACAGATATTGTTATCATGAAAGATCAAAACTTTAAAACTAATTATAAATGTTCATATTTAGTCCAGCATTTTGACGATTATTGTTAGTTATACAATCCCACAGTGATCTTTGTCTCATTGTTGATCATTTTATAACAAACCAGCAATCATATCTGAACACCAGTTTATACTGTTTCCAAATCATCAGAAAAGTATATCTGAAGTTTGAAGTAAATTCAAACCAATTCCTATGTGATGAACTCGACAGACTTCATGAAACGCATAGAATCTATAAGTACCCGATCAAACTTATTTCAACAAAATACTTCTCATGCATGATAATGCATCTACATTTTGATTGCTGAAAACATCCTTCATGGTTCTCAAAAGACTGGTCCTAGCCTTACATCACCCTCGCAGTCTTTGCATTCCTAACTGTAACTTTTAATTCCCTTATTAAAAAAACAACTTTCTTTGATGCATTATTTTCATGAACGGCTCTCAATATTACATAAATTTCCAGAGTTTTCCACAAATTTAGATAAATTCATATATTCATTAGACAAACTGTATACAACTATAAGCCTACAAGTAAGTAGCCTTTGAACTAGATAACACTTCAGTCTGAAGTGATATTAATGTTAGTTTAAATTTATAAATGAGTATGAGTTTTTTTAAATAAAAAAAAACGGGAAATCAATTGTAATACATCCCTTCAATTGACATCAAATATTTAACACTATCCTATGTTAATTTATATTCATATAGACGGTAGTGAAAGTTAAAACAAATAGTGTAAACAATCAATTATTGAAGTCATAAAACTAGATAATGAACATTGAAATTACTTTTTTTTTCTTAGATCAAACTTATTTGTATGATTTTATCGTAGTAATAAATAAATCATGCGAAACATTGAATAACCTTTAAGAAAGTTAATGATACTATTCCTTATTGTTTTTGATCTATAAAATCATTTAACATTTTTCAGGATTTAATTTAATGCATTTAAATTTGTAAAGATTAATAGTATATTTAAGGTTATTAATACTCTAAAAACCACAGTTACAATTTGATATAGAATAGATAGAATGTGGCTAGTGTTATATAATGGTAACTTTTGGGACTCATTTATGGACCAGTATTAAACGTATATTTTTATTGTATAATTGTTAAATAACTAAACTATTCATAGTCATGTCCCTCTTATTATGAGCTTTATTTTGCCCTTTAGACTGTTATTATTATTTTGATGAAAGTCATATGGAGAAAATAAATAAACTTCTGGGAAAGAATACATAAATGCTGTAGAAAAGCATACTAGGAAATAATAACCCTGGCATAATAGGATCTGATTTCCCTTCTTGGATTAATTAAGCATAAAGAATAATTGTAAAGTCATTAACAATGGAAAACTTGTAGTCCACGTTTAAACTTCAAGCCCGATTACTTCGTATTAGAACCAGAATGTGTACTTTGCTCCATTCCGTTTCTCTAGAGCAAAGAAATTGCATTATTTCACCCACATCATACGAGATACAGAATAGTCTACTTCAGACCGGTATAAATCGAGAAGAATGACCTGAAAATACCACTTGTATCATTGATACAAATAAATGCTAAGAACTAGCATTTTGCTGTACCAATATTCAGCCGTTTAAGAAAATGATTTGTGTAAATGTTTTACCATATTTTTGAGCATTTATTCAAAACTCTTGAAGTCGTAAGATATGACTTTACTCATTTTGCCCTTAAGTACTAATTTCCAACAAGTTTTTGATACTACCAACTACAATAAAACTGATTTTATATATACCATTATTTCAAAATGTTTAATTTATCCCATTCTTGACTGTTGTTTGACCGATTTAATTGGTATATGTGTGTTCTGTTAGGATCATTTCACTAAAACCATCTCTTCCGTATGAACTAAGTTTTATATGCTTTGAAAATGGTAGTTTAGGTCCTACTAAGGATTCTTAGTACTGTTGAACAAACATTTATTTCAACCAACCAAGCGACAGAAATTTGAAAAAATTGATTTCGGTTAAATCAAGTTTAAAAAATATTAACAGGCTCCCAATAAAAATAACAGTGGTCATGTTTGCATTTTAGTTCAAATGCACTCTAAATAACATCAGTTCATCGTCTATACTCAAATTATAAATTTACCCCAGCATATCAACGGAATCTATTTTCTTGAAATACAACCCTATAATTCATTTATTTATTACATAACGTGCAAAAAAGAATGCACACAACCAATTTACTCGAAAGCAGGCATTTTTCTAGGTTGGTTCAATAGATCAAAGAATAAATTCAATATTATCTAACAGTGAGTAGTGAAAGTAATCGAATATCCAGTTAATGTTCAAAATGTCCAAAAAGTAAAGTGGAATATCCTGGATTAATTGAAAGTACTTGTTTTCAAACGGTGCAACTCTCTTAGTCGATAAACTTGTTCATTGTTAATTAATTCTTCAGATATACAAATTCACATTAGTTAAAGCTCCTGTAAAGGCGTCTCACGTAAAGGTTGATCATCAGTAAGATTGGTTAAAGAGAACTCATAAACCGTTAAATATTAATTTATATCGAGTTGAATTACAGTTTCTCAATTTTTTCTTTTACGACAGTATATCTTGCTAATAAACACTAATAAGCATAAAACATTTGACTTTGAAACTCTGGGAAACAGGCGAAAGCAAACACCAGTAGGGGGGTGTAAATTGTCGAGTGTTACTAAGTTGCCGAAATGACTTCACTTAGGTAGCTATTGAAAGGTAGAAAATACATGATAGCATCTTCGTCCTAGTATTAAACACCAAGGCAGTGCACATCCGCAAACTCACCCGTTATCGAACGTAGGTCTCTTGTCGAGCTCCTATTCTATTGACCACTTAGTCGGCATTCAATATTTTAGGCATCAAACTACCAGCTGAATTCGAAGGAAAATTGTTGCGCAATATCGCGAATTGATTGAAGTTATAAATCTCACTCACTGGACGCCAGTTTATTGGTTTAAAGATTATATGCTCTCTGTGAGACTTGGTTTCGATCCTTAGTGGGATTCTAGATCCTCACTGCTGGGATGTCCCATACTAGTGTGAAACAGCTATCCAACACTTTCTGGTTTCAGTGGTTGTCCGACTTACGTCGGCTCGTGATTTCAGAAAAAAAAGAACGCGTTATCGTGTATAAGGTCTTTTATTTCTTGAAATAAGATACATTCGCTTTTTTAACAAAAACAAAGCAAGGATTATCACAGACAGGAGGTAGACGAATAAATAATGTGCGTGTTCGAAAAAATTTCAATAGAAAAAGGCAAACCTAATAAACGATATAGAAACACAAACTACAACCATAACAATAAATGAATTTTACAAAACTCTTACAAAACATTTAGGTCAGACAACTTGGAAAAAAGAATAAAATCCTTCCAAAACAAACAGGACGGATAAAAACCAATCTGAGCCGATATGTTTTAATAAGTTTCAAAATAAAAACGATCAAACAACAAAACAAAATTGGGAAGAACGAACGAGAACAAATACCATAATAACACTAATAATAATAATAATAATAATAAACAGGAAAGACGATTTCTATTGAATCTTTTTCGAAAAGAAAAGAAAATAACTAAAACTATAAATTTTTTTTACTATACACACATATGAAAAATAGTTTAACCAAAACCAAAAAAAAAACTAAAGCATTTTCCTTTTCTGTTGTTAGCCTGTTTCGCATTGAACCGTTCATTTTTACTTACCTACTTACTAATTACTTACTAATTAACACTTGTTATTTATAATTTAAAAGAGCATCGAATCATTAAATCAAAATAAGCGTCATTGTCAACAGATGCACTGAGACCAGAATAGTAATTGAAAAATTCTTCACGAGTTATCTAATTTCAAAGAAAAAAATTGGAAGAGTTAAAGATTATGGATAAAATCTGTATTCAGTAGAATCTAACACAAATGTAAATCAAACCAAATTGTCATACTAAATTACAAAAAGGATATCAAATTAATCAAATGAATCGCAGCACTGTAGTAGTTTCAGGGATATCAAAAACAATTAGACATTATGAAGAACGAATCATTTCAAGCAATAAAATTATCCCAAAACTCAGAATCTAGAGGCACACAAAAAGAGAAATCTATGTTGTATAACGTACCAAACCACTGATCGCGTTTACCGCACGATGTATCAACCAAAACAACCAATCTCATGTCTTGGCCCACGCATTCATAACTCTCTTTCAACCTGCTTCTAACTCACTCAATAACACTTAGATGAACTCTCGAACAGACTGGCTGCATTAAATCCACCGGAGAGCGAATCAGCACACACGAAAATTCTTATAGATATCATTTCATCAATGACGGAAGAAATCAGGATGGCCATCAGACAAATCAAGAGTGGGAAAGCAGTAGGACCTGACAATATACAATAGACGGCTCGGAATCAATTAGAAGAATTCTACTACTCAAATGATATGGCCCTTCTATCCCATAAACATGAACAAATGCAGATAAGGACAACTATTGTAGCAGCAGCCTCTGAATCAGTAGACCTCAACATATACAAAGGAAGAAGTAAGATCCTCGAATACAACACGAAGAAGACTAACCCAGTCATATTTGGTGGAGAAACTCTGGAAGAGGTGAAAATCTTAATGTATCTGGGTAGCATCATTGATGAACAAAGAAAATTGGAAAACTACCACATCCATCATCAAAAAGGTACGAATATTTATAAGCGGTTGTCTATGCAAGATACTCAACATCCATTAGCCGGATACCATCAGCAACAGCCTACTGTGGGAGAGAACAAACCATCTTCCAAATGAAGAGAGAATTAGTAATAGATACAGAAAATGGGTAGCACACAAATTACGGAAATCACCAAACTACATCACGGGCAAACGCTAACTTGGAATCGTGAGTGGAAACAGAAATGAGGAAGGCCAGAGAATACACTACGACGGGAATCGGAAGCAGACATGCAGTGGATGAATAGTAATTCAAAAGAACTGGAAAGGATTTTCCAGGACAGAGTTGGATGCAGAATGCTGGTGTGCGGCCTATGTTGCTACACGAGGGGTAACAGGCGCAAGTAAGTACGGAGTGAGTCTACTCTTCCTTCCCTTATATTAACTATGTTCTTTTCATCTTTCTTAACAGTTTGGGGGCGCCTATGTTTTTTATCCCACTCAGGTTGTTTGGGAATAGTCTCAAACCAGAAGGTAGTTTAAGCCCAATAGAACCGCCTAGTTCATTATTTCAATTACCTGGTCTGAGATTGAATAATAGTCCGGTCTTTTTTGGAATAACTGTCACTGACAGCTGACATTTTTAATACTTGTTTATTGTATAAGTCTGAACAGTTGTCTGGTCCCTCTCGTTTTCACTCGCTGTCCACCATCGCTTACCATCATTCCGTGAACATTTTTCCGGTCTTTGTTTTATATTACTCATCATTTTATCCGAAGCCTGGTGGGATAATTTTTCAATTAATCAACTCACAGTTGTTTAAATATCACTGCCAAACTATATCTGAGTGAACACTTTCATAATCGATTACAAGCTTCTCCAGTTTCTAAGATATACTATCGACTGTTTTATGGTTACGCTAAGCTCTAAAAGCTCTTTCAGGTTTTGACTCTTCTATGCCAGGTATGAAGCATGTTTACAGGGAAAAATACATGAGTATGAAAAATCTGTTTGTCAGTAGATCATAGACTGATTATACACTGGAAAAAAGGGTATATGAAGCTAATATGATAAAGGTTAACGCCATAGTGTATTTGTAATCATTGATGTTACTTAAAAGCGAAATCTAGGCAACACTAAATTAAACTCAGGTTATAAATGAACAACAAATATATATCCACATATAAAGCATTCAATTCACCCATCAATGCATAGATATATAGTTGTCATAATAGTAATTATAATTATCAATTTTTAAAGCTGTTTTCGTTGCACAAATGACACCAGCTAAAGACAAATTGAAAATCACTGATTACAATACAAGACACCCGCAAAGTATTCATGAATTTTCAGTGATCTTCCACCTGATATTAGTTAGTGATGAAAACTAACTTTACATTGAACAGCCCTCACAGATATACCAATAAAAAAACAATCTATTCGAACTTTATAGTCTTTGAAATAATGAAACCATATGATTGAAAATGATAAGTAATTTCTTCTTAAAATATACAAGGAATTTACTATGTTTTCAAAGTGTTGAGCATCTTGTTCTTAAACTAATTCCTTCAACTGTTTCAATATTATTTCTCTCATTAATTTTATTATTCTGTCTTTCTACAATCATTCTGAAGTAAAGACAACATTGTGTACTTTGATAAAACAAAGTTGTACCTCTGCTTTTTCAGGTCCTCCTAAACAATGCTCTATGTTTTGCACATCTTTCTCTTTTTTAATCTTTTCGTTACAAGTTACGTAAACAATTATAAGAAACAGGCTACTGATTTTAGCCTAAATCAAAATTAGTTCAAACTCTGTCCCGTTTCGAGCAAAATTGAAGCAATATTGCAAGACCTTAGAATTCATTTTATTAAAAAATTAATTTTTATAATTTCTGTTTAATCCTATTTTTGTATAAAAGATAAATATCCCGTTCGTAATAATATAAATATGAAACACTCATTGACTTGCTAAGGAATTTTCGCATGCATATATACGTACATATTAATTTAAGATCCTAGTGTATAATGGTTTACTGGGTTATAAAGTATTTACAACTTCTGGTCGCTTGCGTTACCGTCTGGCGGATGAGGTGAGACTTGAGCTTCTAACCTGTTGAACGCAAATTCATTCACTCATCTATTGAGCTGTGGCTTGACTATTGTTTGCCAATAATCTCCTACTGTATAAAGGTTATATATATAGGATAAAATCGTCATCAACATGTGCATGGTATGTAGTAGGCAATACATGTTATGTTTTAATTTTTACACACAACAAACTAAAAAAATGCCTAAAATAAGTGATATGTATACATATATACATGTATATAAATAGATACACTGAGTAAACAAACTTTGTCCAGTTTAAATTTTATAGGCTTGTCGTATCATTAAGTCGAAATAAGCATCATTGTCAATTGATGCGCTGATACCAGTGTAATAATTGAAAAATTCTTCTCTTGTCACCTGAAACATTTAAAGTTAGCGTTTTTTTTGTCTTGCGTCATCACAATTAAAATAGAAGAAAGACGCTTACCTTTAAAATATTAATGGTTAACAATTACGTAAATTGTGTTAAGTAAAAATGTTAAGTAAATCACAACTACCGAGAAATAGCTATTATTCTGAGTTCAGCATTCGACAAAGTTGAACATATATACATTCTCCAAACGTTGGCAAGTAATGAGAAACAATTATTCATTTCTGCATTCGGATATTCAATAAATGTTTAAAACTGTTATATTATTTTTCCCAAACCAATTCTTTACCAAAATATGTCAATTTTTATGGTAGGTAGAACTAAAACAATGATAAATTTCACGTTGTCCCCGTAAAAACTCGTTTTCTTTATAAGTTTTAAATTACTACTTTAAGGAATAGATTATTTATACTGAATTATATGATATGATCCGATCAAATGTCAAAGTTCAGGAGCTATTATTGTTATGCATTTGTGATGACAATTGTAGTATGTAATGGCACAATTTTAAAGTGCCTCAAATCTAAAAATCCGACATATGCCTGCCACAAGTACTCCATTTTTATATTTAAACAAAATATATTTCACCAAATAGCTTTTTGCATCATATTTCTGATTGCTATTTTGAGATAACTTAGTGTTTAACTGAAACTATGAATTCTTTCTGACTTCAAATTTTACATCTGTAAATGTAAGATCAAAGCAACTGTAGTGTTTTGAGCATTAAGGAAAGGATTCAAAATTATAGCAATAGTGACAAATGAAATTAAAAACAGTAGGAAAATTACTGACGAGAAATATTCAGGATTTCTGTTCATAATGTGGTCAGAAAACAATATCGTAAGATTTGAAAAAAATGAGTGAATGTAAAAAATATTCATGTTCATAGAAAAATAAAATCATATGCTTAAAACTGCTTACAACTTCATCAGCATTGTTTTGTGGTTGAAATGTTTTTAAGAATTCAACTAAAATTTCATCTTCAGTTTTTTCTCCATTTATAAACTTTGGATGGTTTTTTACATTATACACGCCTTTTAAATCTTCAATCTGAAATAAGTAATTCAAAAAATCAAAGGGATTGTTTGATTAACGAGACCACAGGTAGACAACTTACATAGTAGTCAATGATCTCAGTAAAAATGTGGTGTATTCTTGAATATAAATGTAAAATGATTGCACCTAAAAAACTGGACCTAAGTCAATGTAAAAAACGTTTTGGCGTTTTTAACTAGTGTTTAATAACGACTACATCTAATGTATTAAAGGACATCTAAACTTTTCCTCGAATTCGGATGCCTATGGCTTAGAAAATCGATCATTTTCAAAGTTTGTTACATCTACAAAAATGGTCCATTTACATTCGTGAAACTTCTTTATGATTGCACATTGCATTCTTGAAGTTTTCTAGATTATTCGACTGCAAGAATTAAGTAAGTTAAGAGATGAATAGTTCATAATAACAGGTACTTGAGAACATCGCTTGGTAAATCCATATTTAGAATCCCATTAGCTTGACACATTCTGGCTTTAAACCTCAAAAGAGGATTATGCTATAGAGAGAAATTGCAATAAATCAAAATAATTCATTACTGTCCTATGATAGGACCATTTGACGTTAAATATAGACACCAAAGAAGGTAGTCATTTTCTGCTGAAGCTACCATCATTTAAATACTCAGTACATGAAAAATGTTTAACAAGAACTCAGTCTTTAAGTAATACTGAGACACATTCAAACTAAATTATTTTAAGGAGCATTCATGATATCATTCCTCTATGCACCTTATTACAGTAAAAAACAAAGCATTTAATAAGTGTTCAAAGTAAAGTGTCGGTTTTCCCCAACTGCTAAAATAGTATCTCATTTCTATCACCTATATCTATGAACAACATGTACATATTTTACTGGTATAACACAAACTGTCACGTCAGAATACTTGTTTTGAAATTGTTTTAAAATTGTACTCACTTCCATGATATCAATAGCTCACATATTACTAACTGTAGCGAAAAAAGATAAAACATCCTAATTACGATAGAAAACTCACTGAAACTTAAAACGTATAGCTTTAAGATATGTATAAATTGTTATGCTAAACACAGTTTCCATAACCTGTGATATAATCTGTAGAGGCCAAATAGATCATAGGTCATGAGATTATGCTTTATTATAATCCAAGGTATCAAGGAGCATTTGGGAAATTTAGGTAATTGCAGAAAGCGAAATAAAGATGAAAGTGAACAAGTCTTCAGTTAATAAAGTTATCCTTAATAGTTAATATCACTTTGGTAAAGATATCTAAGACTTTATTACGTTTTGTGAATAAAGGTACAAAATGGCTATCTGAACAAAGAATAAAAATTATTGGTGTGTTTTAGTGAAGATGTAATAATTTAATAAGCTCTGTGTACTTAACTTAAGGAGCTTCATTTATGCTACCCCATGTGCATGTATTTACTTACATATAAGATTAATAATTTGATGTACTCTAATTGTTTAATCCAAGTAAAGGTAACAAAAAAGTTTATTCAGATTACAGTTAATACATTTCGTTTAATATACTCTCTCTCGAGCACCAAGAATAATAGGCTAGTTTTTCGATCTGATTTAAAATTTGTATGTGTAGAAATTTCTCTGAGTAGTGGACACTGTAGATGCGAACTTATCATAAATAAGCAATTATCATAAAGAGTCTGACTAAGAATGGGTTTTAACTCTAGCTTTTGAAAGCAACTGGTTAATTCCACTTCCTTTTCTAATAAACTAATAGTCTTTCCTGGGTTTTACATTTCTGAACTCCCCGACATAATTTGCAAACTGAGGTGTGAATCATGGTTGAATTCGAATATGATAATAATAAACGAATTAACTATCATCAATAAAGGTTATAAGGATTTCAGTTGAAGTCGAATGATGTTTTACAATTCTGTGAGGTTGGGTGCAAAATATTCTAATTCCACACTTAGAAACCTTACAAATGACTTATTAACGAAATCAAACCCATAATATTCATCTAGGGCTAATATAAATGACGAGTGAAATAATTTATAAAAGAAACGTACAGTTATTGCACCATCTTTCGTCTTATCCATTTTCAGAAATGCTTTGTTCAGTACGTCAAGTCTACATTTGCTCATAGGAGGCTTACACTTTAACGAATAATTGAATCTTACTCTTAAAGACATAAGAAACTCATCAAAATCAATAAATCCACTCTGATCTGCGTCGATTTCATCAAAAATCTCTTTAATTTCATCTTTGGACAGATCCACACCGAAGTCTTTGCACCCCTTTGAAAATTCCTTGAAATCAAGCTTTTTGTTTCCGTCATCATCAATAATTCGAAATTGTCTATTGTCAAGAGAACAATAAAGGCCAACAGTATTTAGTTACTTACCTTCCTATACCAGCTATCCCGGATGCACCACGTAAAAGACACTGGTATCTGAGTTTTTCAATCGGCTTAAGATCTTTTGCCAGTTGCTTTCTTGCTTTTTCTTGCAACAACTTGTCACTCCTTTCTGTTTCCATTACGGGAATCAGGACGCTAGTACAAAAGCGAGCATCGATACGAACCAGATAATTTAATTAGTTAAACAAATTTCGAGTGATTTGACAATTGTTTGATTAACAGATTTCAAAAAGAAACTGGAGTTAAGAAACATCAATTAAATGGAAATGTGACTTAAAAGTTTGAGTTGTGATAATATCTCCGAATTTCTAGTGAAGAATGAAAAACCTAATTACAATGAGAGATGTGAAGATGCCACAGATATTTAGTGTTTCACAACACAGTTGTCCGTAATAAATTCTAAATGAAATTTATCGAACCCAGCTAAACTAAAGTCAGGCATGAATGAGCTCGATTATATATCTGGAAGATGGTCGGTGCGTCGAGAATTATGAAGGGCCAGTGAAATGTCATTGAGCCTCAGCCAAAGCATCCGGCAGTTGGTTCACTGAATATCAAACAGTTCGTCGATCCCATCTAGGTCAAGGACAACCAGGATACATCAGTTAATCACACTCAATGGACTAACCCATTAAGTGGTGGTCATCACTCTAACTAATATATTTATGTAGTAACGCCCTTTGTGTTATACGGTCTTCAAAGCAGCAATAGAAACTTGATACGGCGAAAAGGTAAACCACGTTAGGTGCTGACCTTGGGGTGTGACTCCGAAGCCAGCTATTGGTCACAGCATTTGCATCTACCCCAAGTAGGCCCCCGATCATTTGACTTAAATCATAAACCTAAGAAATGCGCAGCATGGTTTAACCAAGAGTGATCTGGTGAGGATGCCTGATTACGCGTCTTTAGTTAGTATGTGCCCAGTAATAAATCTCGGTTCGCCGCGTTATTCTTCGGTTTGCCCTCATTTCCGGATGTCCCGGAAATGAACAAAATGTGAATGTGAGTGCAGGTAGAAATTCACTTTTCCTTGTGTAAGGAAGAGAGTCGTAAAAATACTGTTAATTCTTCGGTATACATGCACTTGATTTCTTTTATCCAATTATAAGACTTCACGAATTTTAAAAATTTATATTATATTCAGGTTATTTCCACACATATTGTCTTATATAAGATTGGTATTTTGGTGTTATATTACTATTAAACCTTCAAGTTTGTTATCGTACTGACGTTTTAAATTACTTGAGCGATGTTTCACCTCATCCACCTAAAGAATAACACATTTAGAAATACACATTAATAAAAAAACGGATTATGTAAATTGACTCGTATATACTTGAATTATAAAAATCTACTTGAATTTACAGCTGTCATCTGTAATGTTAGTGGCTATCTGATATTTGCTCATCTAAAGATGTCACGAATACTCGGGACTAGACAACGCTTTTGTCTATAACACCTTTTCAATTGAAAGACCTAGTTTCTGCCAAACCAAAACTTTGGAATGTGTATTTGGAGGTTTGTTGAGAAGCCTTTGGTCTAAGCTGGCTGGTCGTTGCAAGATATGTGTGTAGTGAACGTGTACTGTCATTGGTCCTAACTACACAGTCTTCAAAGCTAAATACGGGATTACTGGGAAAATGAATGTTCAACAATTAACACGAAAAGAAGGTCAGCAGTGGAGCGAGTAGAAAGCATTCATTCAATTCAATCAGACAGCATGGCTGAGCCTTGCATATGTGGTCATTTTGTATAACTTGTATTTACTCGCATCAAATATATTACTCTTTCTTTGGCTTAAATGTGTGTTTTAGAAACCCGCTGACATATTGCTTATTGTTACGATGCTACAAGTCAGAATAGACAATAATGCGACTTCCACGTAAGATCTCATAGATTAAGTAGTCACATGTGGTGTTTGAATGAACTAATGATTCCTTTGTTTTCTTTGGGTGCTCAATTTCGAATTTCAAACACAGTGCATTCTTTTATGCTTTTCAAGTACTTCTTGATTCAGTTGCATTATTCTTGGGATTCCTGGGTCGTACTATAACTAAAATACTCCTAATTATCATATCACATCATGACAAATCTACATATTTTGGGGTTAGGTTTTCTATTATAGCAGTACTAATAACGAACTAAACCATAATTCTATGACTGAAAACTCAAGTAAACGAAACCAATTTATCGTTTAGTGCAAAATTACAGAGGGTCTTTGTAAATTGTAGAAACCGTACAATAAATGCTTCATTCGCACATCTTTCATCACTTACCATTTACATTATTTATGATTTTTTTCAATGCTCACTTTCATTCTGTCTCCTTTTCTGTTTTATTCAGTCCAACCTCATCAATCCTCTTTTCACAGGCATTCCACTTCTGATTGGCGTATTATATAGTGCATGCGTCTATCGACGTAAATAGCATACGCCAAATCTGTAACACGGCGTTTCCACTCGTGGTCTGGTGCGGATGTGTGACTGAGCGCTTCCATTCAGTCGTATCCAGTAAAACTAATGATCTCTGCATCAGTTTTGAATATTTACAGTAATATTTAATTGTGAGACTTACTTGCCGCTACAGTACAATCACACCTTTTAGGGGTGTAAGATCCATTTTAAATGTTCTGTGTGTAAAAATCCCTCCATGTAAACACTTGCAGTTAGTTCCTACTGATCCCTATAGATGTACATTTTGTAAGTCTTTATATTCCACATGAGTTGGTCATACTTGTATTTTCTTGTAATTTTTATTTTTTCTTACGACTTCACTAAGTTTCTGTAGTGACCTACTTTTATCAAGAGAACGATATTGGTGTAATCGAAACAATTATTGTTATAACCAATTGTACCAGGGATTGTTTTACCGTACTTGTTTGTTTATCTGTGCCAAAATACATACATTCTTCCGTTGATTGTGACCTTGCACGAATTCGGTTGCGCTCAGTAACCACACTTGTGACCTGGGACGATCTAGGTATTCTTTCAATATCACGAGATCGCTAACAAATACATCTCGACTATAGCCAACAACTGCCTTCTGATATTTGGCCTACGGGAGATCTCATTCGCGTGACGATACAATCCACGTCCTATCTGAGAAATTCCCCAATTAACTAAACCACTGGAGGAGATTCCATCGGTGACCAGTCGTGTGATGAGCTACATAGTCACCCCCAGACCCCCAGCCACGACAAGACCTCGTCGACTGGCACCGGACAAATTAGCTTTCGCTAAATGTGAGTTTGACAATTTACTAGCTACTGGTATTATTCGTCCTTCTCACAGTCTCTGGGCCTCACCTCTTCACATGGTGCGCAAAAAAGATGGGGTTAGTTGGAGACCATGAGGCAACCATCAAGCATCGAATGTAGTTACACTCTTTGATAGCTATCCCATCCCCCACATACACGACGTCAAGGCATCGCTCAAGGGCACAACCATCTTTTCTAAGATCGATCTGGTACGATCATATCATCAGATCTCAGTCGGTCTTGAAGATATCAAGAAAACTGCTATCACGACTCCTTTTGGTCTCTTTGAGTTCCCGCGAATGACTTTTGGATTACAGAATGCTGCTCAAACTTTCCAAAGGTTTATCGATAGCATAAAACGAGACTTAGATTTTGTTCGCATCTATATTGATGACCTGCTAATCGCATCATCAAATGTAGATGAACATTATCAACATCTTACACTATTATTCCAACGCTTTTCAGATAACGGAATAGTGGTCAACATGGACAAGTGTGAACTGGGCAAATCGGAAATAATGTTCTTACGTCACATCATTAAGCAGGAGGGTATTTTACCTTCTAAGGACAAAGTACGTGCAATAAGGAAGTACACCATACTGTCCACACTCGAAGAACTGAAGGCAATTCTCGGTCTGGTTAACTTCTATCGACATTTCGTCCCACACGCAACAGAACGGTTACGATCATAAACCGATTTACTTCGCGGTAATCCACGCAAAATATAATTGAACGATGCCACACGTACTGCGTTTTCAGGGATCAGAATGGCTCTGACTTAAGTCACACTCCTTGCTCATCCCGACCTACCAGCTACGCTTAGTATAGCGGTTGACGCATCGGATTTTTTCTATAGGAGCCGTTATGCAACAGAACATCTCCGTTAGTTGGCAACCTCTCGAATCTTTCTCACGACCCCATATTCCCACGAAGACGAGATATAACGCTTTTGGTCGAGAACTACTAACAGCTTACTGTGCCGTCAAACATTTCCGGCACGCAGTAGGTGGCAATTTCATTTTATTCACCGAACATAAGCCTTTAACGCATGCTCTGCATACCAAGTATGACCGCTACTCACCACGAGAGTGCAGACATTCGGACTATATCTCTCAGTTCACGACAGACCTTCGTCACATTAAAGGCAACTTGAACTGTGTTGCTGATGCTCTGTCACGTATCTAAGTGAATGCAGTTACTTCACCGTTGCTCGATCTTCCTGCTATGGCTGCCGCTTAAGCAAACGATCCCTTTTGTACAGAAGCACCACAATCTACATCCCTTCAGTGCCAGGAAGTACCCGTAGCTACTAGCTCAGGTACTATCCTATGTGATACTTCTACCGGTCTTCCCCGACCCATCGTACCCTCTGCTTACCACCGCCTCGTCTTCGATACCCTGCATGTACTGTCTCATCTAGGTATCACAGCTAAATTACGACTCATCACTGCATGATACGTTTGGCCGTCCATGAATAAAGATGTCCTTATGTGGGTAAAGAAATGCATACAGTACCAACGATCAAAAGTGCACAGGCACGTAGCTGCCCCCATTGGCACGTTCGCCAAGCCTGATACTCACCTCCATCACGTTCATATAGATATTGTGGGACCATTGCCACCATCGCATGGGTATGATCGCATACTCACGTGCATCGATCGTTTTACAAGATGGCTCGAAACTATTCCCATCATGTCTATTAAGGTGGAGACAGTTGCTGACCGCTTCGCAGAACGATGGATAACGGTGTACTTTTTTCCCTCAACTGTCACGACTAATCGAGGACAACAATTTGAAAACGAATTATTCTCCTCACTGACCGGCTGCTTGGTACGGAATCCATACGCACTACGCACTGCACGCGCGCTTTTGAAGGTTGTGACTTTTTTCACGTGCTATT